CCGTGCCTCCTCCACCACTGGCGCTGAGGCTGATGACGATCTGTCCCCCGCCGCCTCTCCTGCAGTGAACGCCACTGTCCCCTCGGCCGGATATGTTTCCGACATGCTGGAGGCCCCCGCTCCCGGTGCATCTGTGCTCCGTGTTACTGGCAATGTTGAGACCCAGCCTAAGAAGCAGAAGGTTCAGGCTTTCAAGGAGGTGGAGACCAAGAAGCAGCGCCAGCAGCGTCTCAAGAACGAGGCCCGCAAGCAGCAGGTTCAGGAGGCTGAGATTGAACGCAAGAAGCTGCTTGAGAAGCAGTTGCACACCGCTCGCGAGGCTGAGCGCCGCGAGGCTGCCCGATCAAACGCGCCCGCTACCAACGCCTGGCAGACCAAGGAGAGCACTGCTCCTGTGAAGACCAACGTGGTCAATGGCGGATCCCGCCCCGCCCCCGCTGTCCCTGCCACTTCCTCGCAGACCCTCCTGGACACTTTCGAGTCCCCTGCTGCCCCTGCTCCTACCAAGTGGGCCCAGAACCTTCCCTCAGAGGAGGAGCAGATGCGCCTCTTAGGAGCTGCCAACGGTGATGATGAGTGGACCACCGTCTCCAAGAAGCAGATCAAGAAGAAGGGCGGTAAGACCGACGAGAGTGTCAGCGAGACCAGTGCCTCGGAGAACCAGTCCACTCCTGTTGCTCCTGCCCCTGTTGAGCCACGCGTGACAGTGACCCCAACCTACCTCCCCGACATCTTGCGCTCGCGTGAGAAGGGTCACCCTCTGGATTCTGACTGGGCTGCGTAAGCACTTTCGTTTGTCATGAAGTCTTTCTATCTATCTTTCTCTTTTCATCTTGAAATGTATTTATTACCCTTTTTTGTTTTGTTTTTTCTTATTATTTTTTTTGGCGTTCTGGGGGTGTCACATCATTCGAGCATTCTCCCTCCCCTTCACAGTGGGGGTCTGGGAGGTTGCCACAACGCATTAGGAGCGGAATTGGTAGATTCCCCTTGCAAGTTGTGCAAGGAGGAAGAACTGCACTGCGGGAACAAAAGCAGAATTGCGGGAATGGATCTGACGCTGTGTTTTGCAAGTTCTTGTTTTTTTCTTTGTTAGTTTAGCTAGCAAAATCTGTATTGCAATGAAATCATAATCAATGCTTGATCTAAAACAAAAGAAATAAAGTGCAATAGAATGTAGACAATTTTCAATAATAATCTTCATAACGCCTATATAGATCTTCATAGTTAAAGTCTGTGTCGTCACGATTCCAAAAGCGGTTTAGCGGCCAGTTCCGGTTATCGTGGCCTGAAGGTGCTTTGTATACGACTCCTTGGTATTCCTGTCCTGGACTTCTTCTTCACCAACCTGTCAGAACTCAACTCCATTTTCTTCTTCTCCTCAATCTCTTTTTGTTTTATTCTTCCGCCATGGCCCAAATTCGTGGCACTGCGGGCTACAACCTCGGCCACCAGAACCCGTTTGGCGGGCCCAGTAGCGCAAATGCTACCAGCGACCCAAGTCCGCTGGACTCGATCCGCGAGCAGACAAGCAAGATTGAGGACTGGTTGGACACCTTGGCCGATCCAGTGAAGCCGTACGTTTCAATTTCACCCATTGTTATGATCTTCGTTTTCTACCTGTGTTGTGATCCGAGTCGCGAGCTCGAAACAAGGGATTCAAAGGCATGCACTAACACCCTGCTCTTTTGCTCTCTAGCTACCTACCTGCCATCGGTCGCTTCCTGATCGTAGTGACCTTTATCGAAGACTCGCTCCGCATCCTTACACAATGGAGCGACCAGCTCCTCTACCTCCGTGATTTCCGGCACAGTAAGACCATACCTTTGCTCGTGGACCCTGATCTGCGCGATCTAGGGTCCAGGGTCCCACACTGCCTCTGTATGGTTGTCTAACGCGTCTTGTGCTGGATCTAGTTCCCTGGGGAATCACGCATCTGTTCCTTATCTTTAATGTCATCTGCATGTCGGTCTGTTCGTTCCTGGTCATTGCCCGCAAGCGCACCGAGTACGCCGTCGCAGGATTGCTCGCCGTCGTCATCACACAGGGTCTTGGATATGGTCTCATCTTCGACTTGAACTTCTTCCTTCGCAATCTGAGCGTTGTTGGCGGTCTGCTTATGGTCCTGTCCGATTCCTGGGTGCGCAAGAAGTTCGTCCCGGCCGGTCTGCCCCAGCTCGATGAGAAGGACCGGAAGATGTACGTCCAGTTCGCTGGTCGTGTGTTGCTGATCTTCCTCTTTGTTGGATTCGTTTTCTCCGGCGAGTGGAGCTTCTGGCGCATTATGGTTAGCTTGTTTGGTTTCGTCGCTTGCGTTATGGTCATTGTTGGCTTCAAGGCTAAGTGGAGCGCTATCATTCTTGTGGTTCTGCTGAGCTTGTTCAACGTGTTTGTGAACAACTTCTGGACGGTATGTTGACTGGGAAATTAATTGTATCTGTGGTTACTGACAAACTCCGTCTAGCTGCATGCCCACCACCCGCAAAAGGACTTCGCCAAGTACGATTTCTTCCAGATCTTGTCGATTGTGTATGTTCCCTCTCCCCAGTGGTGAAACACGTTCAACGCTAATAGCTTCTACAGTGGTGGTTTGGTACTCCTGGTCAACATGGGCCCCGGCCAATTGAGCATGGACGAGAAGAAGAAGGTCTACTAGAGGAGGATGGGATCGAAATGCGATTCTCCATCTCTCTATATATCTCCCGATACCTGCATCCATCTAGCAACCACAACGAATAGGGATAGAACTTAGCAAAGAGCGGCCTGGCTGGTGCTCCGCGGGCTCCGAGCATTTGAATACGGCACTCCCTAGACCGTTTACTGGTTTACAGAGGCTATGCGTGGCCGGGTGGGGCGTTGTTTGCATTTGGGATAATTTTGAAACGCCGAGGAGATCCAGCGATCTATCCTCTCTGGCGCGTTGTTTTCTTTTTGAGCTGTTCTACCCGGAATTTTCGTGCCCTGGTCTCTTGTTTCATCGAGATCAAAAAGACATGTCCTCTGCATACGATATTTTTGTTATGCATTTGAATTGCATTTATCACGAAGACAAGTCGATTCGAAAATCTAACGCTGAATGTGACGCATAGCTGCATGGCCTTTTGCTCTCACATCAATAATATATGTAGTAAGCTGCAATGGCTTTGTATCACGACAAGATATTGCACCTAGAAGTACTGAGCCCAATTCAGAAGCTATCCCTCCGTATATCCCTTTTTTGGGTCATGTTTAAACACCTACGATTTCCCCATGTGCTTGACCAGAAGGTATTGACTAGTCTGCCCCGAGCCCTTGTACTTGTTGCATGGGACATCTATTAGCCTAAATTCGAATGTCAATATTGTAGTCCACCTTAAGCATACATATTCTTTATATACATCCTCACACCACACCGCGACCGAGCACCACCACAAAAAATTGTGCCCAGCCTGTACTCGAGGAAAAAATGCAGTCCTATTATAGTTATATTGCACTCTTCTATGGCGCAAGCATGACATATCGGGGCCGTAAGCTTGTGTAAGGGACCACTGAGCTGAAAGGTTTTGTTTGAACTCTACTGTATCCATTCTATGTAGGTTATAAATAAACAGATATTATTCTGTCTTTAAGAGATCAATTCTCTTCGCCGTCGAATCTATCAATTCTTTCTCAGCTCTTTGACCCAATGCTAAATAAGGGGCCCTCTTTCATCCAAGGCGGTTTGGCCGAGTGGTCTAAGGCGATTGAGTACGTTTCTCTTCATACACCATTCCACAAAAACATTCACTAACAATTCCAACAGCTAGAAATCAATTCCGTTCGCGGGCGCATGTTCGAATCATGCAGCCGTCGTTGCATACATTTTTTTGCTGAATCGGGCTAGAACCACAGTTGCGGAATAACATTTCTTTTCGGTTTTCATTTTGCTAGGGTACTATGTAAATAAAAACATCCTCTGCTGCCAGATCCGCCAATGGCTTCTAGAGAGGCTATACTGGACTCTTTGAATTCTCGTGTGTGGAACTAAGACATAGTATCGATAATTAATGAGAGAGGATCTTTGGCTCACCCTCGCGAATCTCATTGTTACGACCTCAGATAATGCTCGTGGCCTGACGTAGAATGGATAAGTAAGTATATTTGGTTTGCGTGAGGCAAGCCGCGACTTTTATTGCAAGCGAGACCATTTCAATTATTGTCTGGTCCTTTAGGTGAAACGCTGACAAAGGCGCTGGAGGTTTCAAATAAACGTTGGACCACAGATTGCTCTCGGTAGAATGTCCCCAACCATGCATGTGCATTTCCTATAAGTAAATGAGAGGAGAGAACTGATCTGAGTAGCCAGACTGTCTTTATATATCCTTGGAAGCAGAAAGCGTGTTACAGGATATTGTTTGACATTGTTGGTTGGACATCATGTGTCATATGCCGACTCTGATTCAATATTCAAAAGAAAAAAAAACATGCATTGTTGGAAAAAAAACGCTATGTACTAGTAACCCAAGTAGAGAGAGGGAGTGATTATGGTACAAGAAAGAGATAACATCTAAGGATTTTAAGGAAAGCAGAAGAATAGGAAAGAGAAGTCTGAAGGGCCACAAAATGCAGAGGGAGACAAAAAGAAATAAGGAAAGTGAATGTAAAATGATAGAAATGAGTGCTGTCATTGTGTGTTCGCCTGTTCTCTTGCCGTTGGGTTGAAGCACGGAGGAACTTTGGCAGGCGATAGAAGGCATTCCGCTTTTTATATACTGGTCCAGCCAGGTACATGCCTGTATGAAATATAAAGTTCTGACAGCGAGAGGATGTTTGCTTCGCGATATCAGATATCACTTGGCAAACGTGGAAAAATGCTTAAAGAATCGAGGGAAAATAAAACAACAAAAAGGCAAATGCTGGCTGATCTTGATGCTTCAAACGCCGTATTGTTGAACCGTATTGCTAAACCCCCGGGAAGATGAATGGAAGAGAGAGGTAGGATGTTTTCGAGGATGAGTGTTGTAGAATGTTTGAAAGGCTTTTTAGATGTCCATGCTCCAACGCCATGGGCGAATGGGCTGGAATTGACCCAGGCCAATATCATCGCGACTGTCGTCGTTGATCTCTAGGTGTAGCATCTGGACCTTCTTGTTGTCGCGATGCATTGTGGAGAGAGTCTTCGAGATATTTGGGCGGTAGATCTTATCACTGTCATCTGCGGCTTTCGATTGAGGGCGGGATCCCGGAGTGTCGGGATATCTCCATGAAAGACTTTGAGAGTCATCCGAGTTGGTGGTGGAGAACATAGAGTCAGATCGAGAGTGTAAACCTGGGTCTGGGCCATCGGAGTCGATACGGAGTTGAGCCAGCGATGACCGACGAGGTTGATGGTTCTGAGTAGTGTAATCGATAGCACCGTCACCAGTCTCGCTGCCGATTCTTTCGGTCTCGTTTTCCCTGATCACATCCTCCTTGATCACATCCTCCCTGATCACGTTCTTGGGAGACCGGGATAAGCTGCCAGGTCCATAAGTGGCTTGAGTCGGCGAAGTGACAGTGGCTTCTGCTTTACCAGCCATAACTCGGGCGCTTGGTAGCGGCTGGATCATCCATCTGGTCTCGGCACGGCTACATGGGCCACTAACGATGGGCGTGTGGAGGTCGTTCACAGGCGGTACGCGGGGGATATAGTATTTGGAGGTTTCGTTCGGGTCTGCACGACCACGTCCAGAGAATCCAATAGACGATCCGCGGACTTCTTGTTGTCCCCATAGAGGCTCATCTTCCCGTTGGTATCGCATGGACTTCCACTTCTCGCCGATTGGATGCATCAGGCCACCACTCTTGTCTTTCTTGAGTTGTGAGCTCTGGTCGGTATTCCAGCTGTCGGTTCGTTGAACATTGCGGTGGCCGCGACGGGCTGGGGGACCGGGTCCTAGGGCGATTTCCTCTCGCCACCCTACATTTGTGCTGAAAGGGGTTGGCTGTGCGAATGGACGGGGTTGGTCGCTGACGATTTCGTTGTTGCGTCGTTCTTTCTCCTTTTCCCGCTGGGCTCGGGCAGCATCTTTTCTACGTTTGTGACGATCGACATTTTCGGCGCAGGGGGTGCAACTTGCATAGTAGAAGACTGCGGACTGCGCGCCCCGAAAGAGCCACATGACTGGCGTGGCGGGGATATGGGCTGGTTTATTAGACTGATCTGGAAATAGTTGTAAACCGTCGTTTAAGACGGACTATCGGCCCTGAAAATCTGTTTGAATTGACTCGGTATTCGCTGGTTGTGTTGTAGTGATACTATCGAACACATGAAGGGCTGAGCGGATAGGGGGAAAATCGTGGGCAGAGGCGGAATAAAGGTAGACGTAGGAATTGGAGATCGCCCAGCGATCTGTAGACAAAGAGGGTAAAAAATAGTTGGAAAGAGAGAAAGAGTAAGAAAAAGGAAGTGGGAGGTTGAAATGGCAATTAGGGGAGGTCAGAGGGGCTGTCGGTAGTTTCTGCCTGAGTGTTTCGCCTTTAGTTTTCTTTGATAATCTTTGACTGTTTGCGGCCTAAACTTGGCACATATAGGTACGTACAGTAAACCCAGGTTATAAACCAAATAATAACGAATATTTGGTTTTAATGATCGAATAATGGTCAATTAATCCATAATAACGAATATAACCCCTTACTACTTCGTACTTCTGTAAATAATGTACGGGGATAATGGACTGCCGAGTGGGGCCTTGGCCTATCTGGCCGCTTTATGAGTGCAGGCTCAGCCCTGTATCACTGAGTATATGTCAGCATGGCCAGGTGATCACTTACTTAATTCGGTCACGTGTATAACGACTCCGATACTACTATGTGCTAGAATTGCTTAAGTGCATAGTGATATTTGGGATGAGTATCACATTATTGCGAAAGGAAACTTGAGAGAGCCATTCTATACTTGGAGTAGCATTGATACACGCAGTCGATAGCTTAGATCTCGTTAGAGTGGCTTGATAATTCCGTATCCACCCGTGGACTTACCCAGAACATATTCTTTTTCCTTTTTCCCTCTTTTTTTTTTTTTAATCTGGGTTGCTGATGCACTACCGGATATAACCCAAATTTGTTTCTATAAAAAACAAAAATCCATCATCATCGTCGTAGTTACCCGGCAAGAGCTTCCGAGCCTTATGCAACGCTCTGCCCGGAAGACTATAATATATTATATCTAGTCTTCAAGAGTTGTAGCAGGTTCGTCGACAATAATGATATATAAGCACCGCTGGGCGATCTGGAAGTGCATATTGCTGAATCCCAATATAAAACACAGGATTGAATGGACAGATATCTGAGCTGCGAAAATCAGGATCTTCAACCCCATTGGCATATGCAAATTTTGAAGCAGTTGCGATTGGATCATTAGGTGGCCAGATCGTAACTGTAAGATTTCAGGGCCTGCTCGGGGTTTATCTTGTGCATCGGACTTTTAGGTTGTTGTTGCGCAACTCAGTGAGGCAACGAGAAGGTTCCTTTGAGTAACGGGTGAGTCGCTTGAGGCTGCACCTCATTAGTCCAAAATGGGATAGCGCATTCGGGCGAGGAGGACCCCGCCTCGCACCATCCGGCCCCAAGAGCCTCCTGCTATTTAACGTACAAAGCTTGGTAGCAGGAAAAAACATAGCAACCCGATGATATCGTGCTCTATATATAGACATAAGCAGATTCCCACCGATTGCCTCCAGGCGGAACGCAATGAACACGATAGCGTCTCTGAGTCCTTCCAGAAAGCCTCAATCGCAAACGCAAGTGACCTCGTCCCAGCTGAAGCGAGCAACATGCAACTTATGCCGTGAGCGTAAGGTGCGCTGCGACCGGGAAAAGCCAGAGTGCCATCGCTGTCGCAAATCGGGCCAGACATGCGTCTATCCCTCTGACAAGACAGACAACGACGAGATCAAGTCGGCGTTGAATCTACTTCACTCCCGTCTGCGTAAGTATACTCCAGATGCTGCCTCCCTAGTGAATTTCTTAGTGTCAGTCGCTTTTTTTTTGGCTTTGTGCTTACAACGGTAGTACAAGCGGAAACGACGCTCCAGGAACAAGGCCTACAATTCACGACTCAGTCTATGAAGCCAAATTATGCCTTGCCCCAAAGCTCTATGTCACAGAATTCCCAGTTTGTGTATGACCTACTGTCACAAGGTGATGACATGGACTACTCAAATATGGAGTTTGACTTGAGGTACGCTCTTCTATGATTCACTCCAAAGAGCTATATCCTGTGCTGATAGCCTCTTAAGCAACTTCCATCAGCCACCCACCATGATCGATGTTGTGAACAGCTCTGGCACAGATGGGACTCCTTCGGATCTAGATTTGGATATGGCCAACCTAAAAGACAATCCCCCAGGCCCCACATTCAACCCACTGTTCGAGCAACCCACTCCCTTTAGCGGCTTGGAACAACAGTACGTACCCCACCATGAGAAAAACACGAACATCCCGTCTAATTATGCGCCATGCAGATACCAGCCGTACTTCGATATAGTGCAGAAACACATGATGCTAATAGACCAGCAGGAGTTTTTGCAATCCGTCGTCCCAATGGACACGCACCAATGCATGGCCCTAAAATATGCCACAGCTCTATCTGGCTCCACTGCGTGTGGAGAATTAGCCCTAGCAATGGAGTCGTACATAGCAGCCCGGTTCCATCTGGAACGAGCCGAGAATCTAGCCGATAACTCTTCTTTCTTAAATCATGAGACGGTTCAAGCTTTGCTTCTTGTTGCGAGGTTTGAATTTACTCATATCAGCGGACCGAAAGGGCTTCTAACCATAGCGCGTGCTATGCAGTTACTAAGCTTGCTGGGATATGATGTGCTCGATCAGACCTCAGCAGAAGGCGAACGAGATAGCTCTCAGATGATGCTGCCAAAAACACATAGCCTGGGACATATTCAGATGCTACGGCGGACTTTCTGGATTGCATTTGCGATGCATTGCAATGCCACTGCAAGTTTTTCATGCTGTATACCAGTTAAAGACAGTGGGGTAAGCTTGTATTGGTTAGGAGTTGCCGCTTTCCTTTGTGACCAACGATTTCAAACTAGATCGGCACCGCAATGCCAGTTCCCAACCCAACAATAGACTTCGATCCAAGCCAGCACGTCTATCTTTCCGAAGAAATTACTGACACCATGGCGAAGGGACTTTCCGTCTTTTCCCTTTTTATCTTCGCCATGAAACTTGTCGTTGACGGAGACCGCCACCGCCAATCCACCAAGAGATACGTACGGGACAACGCATCTGACTATAATTTTTGCCTTGTCCACGAGAAGATCGGGGGAGAAATTAAGATCATGTCAAAGTCCCTCTCGGAACAGGAGTTCCTCGGCGGGCCAGATGATGAACTTCGCGTGCTCACTTGTATCATCATCATAGGCGCTCGAATAGACTGGTTCAAGACGGCTATTATTGGATCTCAGAAAGCTACGTTTCTAGGTCCTATTGCTAAAGAATATCGTACTTCGTGTGTTGCTGTCACGAATGCTATGTGCGACTTGCTTCTTCAGGCCAATTTTACTGATGCGAAACAAGTACGTCTTTCCCAATTTCTTCTTACACCATTTACCATGTTCCCGTTCTTGAATATTACAGCAGACCATCTCAACCAAAAAACCGTTCACTGACATGCGTTCTACTACCTCGAAGATCCCCATCTGCAAAGAAATGTCGCTCTTCATAATGCGGCCGCTAGCCTTAGCCGCCGAAATCCAGCTCGACGTCCTGCAAAACCCACAAGACATGAGCTATAACGCATTCTCATCGACGCGTGAGATACGACAGAACCTCGAACTTTTGTGCAATGTCATGGTGGTGTGTAAGCCTGCGACTGGGGAGTATGACCCTAAGATTCAAGCATGCACAGCGTTTCTGGAGAAAACAAAGTTTGAAAGGGTTTTTAATTCAGGGCTGCTAGGAAATGGTGTCGGTATATGAATAGGTAGGGCTTATAGGCAGTGGAGTTAGGAGAATAAAAGGGAAATTATCTGTGATTATGGAACAGCAGTCTGGGTGTGAGTGCATTTTCTGGTGTTCCGGGGGGTATGGATGCGATTAGTATAGACAACTCATGATATATCAGACATTATGATTTCCTGAAAATTGGCTTGTCTTACTTGGTTATCAGTACCAGCAAGATTCCCCATGTGGTAACGAAAGCTCAGAAGAAGATTATACGGAAAAAGAAAATCAATATCTGGCCTACTTTCGCAAAACAAGCCCTCCAAGTACTGAAGATCTCGAGCCGTTCCAGAGCTGACCAGCAAGTGGGTAGATGCCACGGCATGTGCCCGAGTGCATATCAAAAAACAAGGTAAAAGACCAACTATGCTAGAACAGTATGTTCCAGCATGTCCGGGACCGATATAAGTAGCGCACAAACGTTAGGGGGCAGGTAGACGGGACGAAGTCTGAACCCTAACAAGAGAAAAAGCAAGTCGTGTTATTCCAAATAAACATCACAAGACAGTCAAGTAAACATCACAAGATAGGCAAATAAATATCACAAGATAGTCAAATAAACTCACAAGATAGTAGATGAGGGAGAGGGGATGAATATATTCTATTAACCTAACTCCTGCCGTGCCATTTACATCTGCCACCACGTGTAATAGATATACTTTGACTACGTAACAGTACGTATACGTCCGAGCCAGTGCTTCCACTAGAAAGGTCAGATACCAGTAAGGATTGGTACGACGGGGCTTAGCTTTTAGCGCACTCGGTCTTTCACCAAGTTAATACACCGACACAGCCGGGGCAAGGCCCGAGATAGTCGGGCGTGCAGCGTGCTCTGTTGCAGCGCGTGGGACCAAAACGAGGCCTGGTACCAACTCGGAGTAACATGGCTATACTGTGATCATTTAGTCTAGTAGGCAGCCAAGTGATCGGGATTGTCACCCCTAAAGGATCAGGCGCTAGGTGAGAAATTGCATAGTACGTCTCCACGAGAAGCGCTGATTTTAGGCGTGTGGGAGGGGGCCTCGATTTTGGTTCCGTTCCAAAGGAACCACCCCCGATCGATCAATATGAGATTGGCGGATTACCTATAAGTAAAGATGTTCTTCGCCAAACTTTAGGAAATAGATCATTACCACTAAATCTGGTTGCGAATAACTTTCTCTCCTGAATCAAGCCTCTAATTCCCACCAACTTGCAAGCTATTTTAACCTCCTGCAGTTTTCAAACTCTCGGCTCCTTAAAAATGACACCTACCACGTCTAAACCTTCGCTGATAGTCTTTGGACCTCAGAAAGAGCTTTCCTCTCGAGATGCCATCGACCAATTGAGACGGGAGATCAACCAGAATCCTCAACTATCCCATGTCCTCAATGCCGCAAAGCACGGGGCCGAACTGTGGAAACCCCTTGCCAACTTCGACCCTACCCTGAACCATATTCCAGGAGCCAAACTGCTGGCCGAGCTCCAGGAGTGGGTTGTAGGAGATGGCCCTTTGCCAAGTTACAACTTCAACACATTTCGTCTTCCGGTTACCGTTCTTCTCGAGATCGCTCAGTATTTCCACTACTTGAGGGAACTGAATGTGGTCAGCCCTCATCGCCTCCTCCTTGGGGGCGTCAAAACTTGTGGTGTCCTGGGCATCTGTGTTGGATTCCTCAGCGCAATTGCGGTGGCTACCTCGGAGATCGAAGCTGAGATCGCCTTCACAGCTGCCGCAGTCTTTCGCCTGGCTGTCATTATCGGTGCTTATGTCGACAATAACTAATTTGGTATACAAGGGACAAAGGTAGGCTGTATTGCTGTTCGATGGAAGGGAGATGAAGTTCATGAAAAAGATATCTCTAATCTTGTCAGCACCTTTCCAAAGGTATTTCTATTGCCTTTCTTGCTAAACTATCAAAGCTGACGTAATGGAAAGGCGTATACATCATGCACCATTGATGCCAAGTCCATAACTGTCACAGCCAGCCTTTCTGATATACCCAGACTGACTGAAAAGCTGCGAGCAAATGGCTCCCATGTGACCACTGTCAGTGTAGAAGGGGCCTTTCACTCGGACATCTATACCGCTGCTGTGGAAAGGATCAAGAAGTTTGCGGTGGACCGTCCAGATCTGCATTTGCCCAGCGTTAACAAGCTGCAAGCTCCACTCCGTTCTACCGTGGACGGTGAAATCATCACCAGTGGATCCCTTCTCCAACACGCTCTCGAGAATGTCTTGCTGAAGCCGGCTGCGTGGTTCAAAACGGTGCAGGGGGCAGTTTTTCAGCTGAAAGGTTCTAAAACAGTTGCGTTTGCAGGATTCGGGAATCATATTCCGGCTTCGCTTGTCAGTGGTGCGGGTTTGTATGTCTTGGATCTGAATAAGTTGACTGTGTCAAATCTCGACGGTTTCCCCAATGGGACAAGGATAAAAGGGACAAACAAGCCAGGAAATGGAGTTTCAGATGCGCAAGACTCGGTGCCCTATGAATATCCTCCTAACTCTATTGCTATCGTCGGTGTGTCTGGCAGATTCCCCGGAGCAGATTCATTAGATGAACTTTGGGAACTGCTGCTATCCGGCAAATCAATAGCCGAACCAGCCCCCGTTAAAAGACTGCAACTACCTACAACCGGCGAGTATGCGAATAAAAAATGGTGGGGCAATTTCCTCCGCGACCCTGATGCCTTCGATCATAAATTCTTCAAGAAGTCACAGCGAACTGGTGGACAATTGGCAATGTCATTGGCCTGGACAGCTCCGCAAAGAGGGTTGAGGCCACCAGAGGCAATCTTGGCATTTTACTGCCCGACGAACTATGAAGATGACTGTAAGTTGAAATCTCATCTTCTTTGAAGGGAAGTCTAACCTCTAAATAGGGTGGAGAAATCCCATCCAGCCCATCGGCGCAGAAGATTGGGGAGATAAATACGATCTGCTAAAAGCAATCCAAGATGAGCCCGTAAGTTTCCCCACTCCATATCAAACCCGATGTCTTAACTTAACCAACCGAAAAGATCACCAACTACGGTGTCGTCGGTGCCTGGGAGCCACTATCGGACCCCCGTATCCGTACTGATCTCCGATGTCGCATCGTGCTGCACATCAACTGGAAAGCCCAAACACTCCCCATAATTATCGGCGGCCTCCCCAGCAAAAAGAACAGCGCAGGCGTTAACATTCGAGACTGGAACACTCTCCCACAGCCTTCTCTAGATGAAATTGTCCGAGTCAGTCCACGCGCCCAGATCTTGCGGGGCAATTATCATACGCCCACATTCCTCATTCATGGAACGAATGATGATTTGATCCCTTGGCAGCAATCTCAAGGTACTTATGATGCACTTCAGGAAGCAGGAGTCACTACTGGTTTGGCTTTGATTGAGGGAGCCCCGCATATATGTGATTTTAGCAGTAATCCCGAGTCAGAGGGTTGGAAGGCGGCGATTCAGGGGTATGAGTTTATTAGTAACTATGTGTGAGTGGAGTGGTGGTGGTAGTATATGAGTCGGTATCTGAACCATATTAGATGTAATGAGAACATTCTATTTTTCCAACAGGAGAAGAAGTCCTTTTAATTCACCATTGTGTTTGCTGTGCAGCCTGGCAGTTGGCGGATATGGTTATTATCAGCAACCTCATAGAAGACAAGAGCCTGCATTTTGAACCCCATAACTTATTTTTCGTATCCTTCTCTGGGATGTTGCGGAGAAGTTGGATCCGTTCCTTAGTAGGCTACGTGCCAGGCGCCCAATACATCTTTACTGTGTTGGTGCATCCCAGTCAACGATAATTTTCGGTCAACGATAAATGTTCAATATTAGGTATCTTTTGTATACGCGTGTTATACAAAAGGTACAAAGGTTTTCAAATTCTCAACTTGCATTTTACTCAAGCCTCAAATCATTGAAAAAATAAAAAAGCGTGGTAAATGGTATATGATATAACCGTGAGACTTTTCTAACACTAAGATTAATTCGAAATAATGTAGAAGCGTGAGAAGCACATTAAAAAGACACCATATATAAAAGATTGTATATACTCCGTGGAACTTGAATGTTTACTTTATTATAATCAATATTTCTGGTTAATATTAATACCAGATTAGCTAAAATCCTTCTAGATAATATAACTATACAGACCTATAATTTCCCTACCTATATCGCAGGTTGAGAAAAATTTGATTTTTGATTTTTGAACTTTTTGTACCCTTTGTATGATATGCCCATACAAAAGATACCTAATTTTGAACATTTATTGTTGACCGAAAATTATCGTTGACTGGGATGCACCAACACAGTAAAGATGAGTGTCTTGGGTGTTTGGAACGATTACAGCCTCAATTTGCCCTCCTTCCCCTGTGCAATCCATAACAGTCTGGAAACATCGCAGTCAAGGATGTTATACGAGGCAAGACGACTTTCCTCCCCAATTCTTTTTCTTATTATCTATTAAATATGATACTAGATCTAACCAGATTTCAAAGAATTTAATCTTTCCGAATCTCAGAATCGTCAGTTCCAGGCCGCCGTAGTCTTTCACGCCAAAACACGCATTTCTCTAATAATGTACAGCCATTAATAAACTTGCGCGAATGTACTCCTAGCTCTCAGCTTGTCACCATACTTCCAAAGAACCAAAATTCCAAAGAAACAGGCCCACGTCAAGCCAGCGAGGACGCTACATCCCTTTCCAATACCTAGATTGGCGAATAATGGTTGTGAGAAGTGAGTAGCAGCACAAGCCACTGCGCTGCGCAGGAATGCTGGGAAGCTTGTTAGACAAGGCCTGTTTGATAACCCGGGACAAGACTTCCAACTCACAGTTTGCAGCAAACAAGCTCGCAGCATAGCGAGGATACGAAATTGGAAGATAGATGAAAATACACATCGTAATCTAGAAAAACTTTTAGCATACGGATATTCTCACGGCTTGTCAGTCCACTTACCACAAAGACACACGACATGTATAGAACAATTCCAATCGTGGGAACAACCCAATGAATCCAATCGCGAGATGTCCAAGCGAAAATAAGGATTCCACACGGCGCAATCAAGGCCGCAACAACGGCAGGGAGAAGTCGATGTTCAGGGGAGCCGATTCCATTATTATAAGTGTAGGGCTCATAATGGAACTTGACAAGCGCCAAGTATGAGCTGGCCCCGAAGAAGCAGGCTACAACAACGCACAGAAAGATGGTTCCCATAATACCCATCGAGAACCCGTGAATCTGGGTGAAAACAATCGGGAATGATTCAAAGTATGAGTACTAAGCGCCATTTGTTAATTCACTCTTCTGCAACCAATCCCTAAACTTTTGCTGCCCCGAGACTTACAAAAATACCGTAGATAAGACCGGTGTAGACATTAATAAAGGCAACTGACGGATCCCTCAGGGTAACCATGAAAGGCGTAGTCAAATACCCACCGAGAAGGGACAGGAAGTGAGTATTTCCTTGCTTAATCTCTGAATCCGATCGAAGATTCTCATTCTCGGTGGATTTGCGTAGGCGCTTGGCCCGGTTCAAGAGAATGAAGTCGGCATTGGTTTCTGGGAGGAAAAAGAATAGAAGAATCCAAGTAAAGCCACAGAGAATGAGAAGCTCATACATAGACCACCTCCAGGAGCTCAGGGGCACTGAGAATCCAGATAAAAGAGGACCTAAAGCGGGTCCTGCTAGAGTTGCACATCCCCAGAAAGTGAGACCATAGGGAATTTTCGGGAAAGAAAGGATATCACCAGCTGAGGCTCCTCCTGTTGCTAGAACTGGGCCACCCAATAGTCCCTGAAGAAACCTTAAGACAATCAATCCTGCAAAATTCGACACGCGAGAGGTCACAGCGGTGATAATTATGAACAACGTAAACGAAACGAAGTACGGGATATTCCGTCCAACTGCCGGTATTTCCGACAAAGGGCTGAAAAATAATGGCCCAACACCCTAGAACGGCCATTATGAGTTTGGACATGTCTGCCGAGGACAGGGGGATATACTTACATATCCTAAAACATACATCGAGAGTGCCAAAGACGATTCTTGGACGTTCACACCGAAAATCTCCACGAAGATTGGCTGAGCTGGAGTGATGATTGCAGATCCACAGTATACTATATCTAGTCAATATAAAAAAAATGTTACGAAATCCCGCGCCAACTGACCAGAAAAGGTAAGAAGGCAGATCTGTGAAAAAGTAACAATCTTCTTTGCCAGTGACCACATCTGCGGGTTTTCAGGATCGGTTTCGCTATACCAACTGACAGTCTGGTAACCAGACTTTGACTGGTCTGGCGACGACATAGGCTCAGCCTTCTCCACATCGGCATCCGTGTCTGTAGAGCTGCTGTTCGCTTGAGGTGTAGGTACTTCAACTGGTGTTTCTTCCGGTTGATACTGGAATCCAGCCTTCTCATCAGGGTAAAGAAAGACCCGGGGACCGAGAACTAATCGACAGAGCTGGCCAAATGGCGCATCGCGAACGCTGAATGCTGACATGGTCTTGAATCAAAAACGCTCTAACAAGCACTTTTCAGCTCAGGTTTGGTAATAGAGTGAGAACAATTTTGAGCGTCACTTTCTGGCTTGTGTTCAACATAAAATATAGGGACATTTCCTCCCATCACTACATCTTTACATCCCTTTCTCGGTGTTGCAGCCGAAAGGGACTCATTTCTTTGTGTACAAGGGTATAGGGTAAGCTCTGAACTGGGACATCGACCTTCCCGAGCTCCACTCGGCAAGCAAAGAATAGGATCTCCAGAGTAGCCACGATCATATTGGCTGTGAATCTTCGAACATGCTCGGCCGGCCCCCCGACTTTGAAGTGACACATCTGCTCGGCCGAGCCCCCGAGCCCCCGAGCCCCACCAAAAGATCCCTGACACTTTCAGTGGATTTCCGGCAGATCTCCAGTCTCTCACTACATGGACTCTAGGGAGTACCACTTCGAACACTAGGGATCGCAGGATATCGAAAAATGACTGACTCATTCGCTGTGTTACCGCGACCGATGCAATGCGAAGGAGTGGGCTCTCTTGTACCAATTCTGGTTGAAACCCCCAAAGTTCGTGGTATCCCCCTTATCACATACTGAACATTTTGGCCACTTCTATAGCTCTGGGAATCTCATACCAACGAACGACTTGAGTATTTTCTGCAATCAGAGGAATCCCTCTTTTATCCACAAGATGTAAAATTTGTCTCCCTGCTCGATTCAACTCACCTGGGACATCAGTGGCGGGTCATTCTGTGACTGTGTTGGCTATTAGTGTTATGATTGCCTCCACCATGCCTCCCAACCCTTGTATCGTTCTTTTTGGACTGCATTTGGGGTAACTTCTTATCTAACCCTGATGTTTTCGATCATCGCTTCTTTGGAATCTCGTAGGGAGATAAAGTCAATGGACCCACAGCAAAGGCTAGCATTGCAAATCGGTTATGAGGCAGTGGAAATGGCAGGGTAATATATATTGGGTCCGAGAGCAGGCTGCAGCTCTCCTTCCCCTGATATGTATAATACGAAGTGCAATTCACTGATCTGACTGATTTCTATTCAGATGCGGCTGGTCGAAAAGGAGAAATTCCACGTCGAGAATTCCTTGTTCTTCACTCAAAAGGGATTCTATACTCAGATCCAAAAGCAAGTTTAGCTACTCTAGCACTTCCTCATCCTCAGGCTCAGACTGAAAGTCACATCCACAGGAGGGTGCGAGCTTGGTGAGGCTCTTGCTCTGGTCGAGGTGTATATAGCTAGTTTTGTCAATATAGCTCTCTCGGCGCATTCTCATTGTACGCTTGTTATAAGCTTCAAGGTTACAAAGGCTAGTAGTTCAGCTAAGAAAGGCTTTCTTTGACATGAGCTTGAGAAGTGGGAATCTATTATTTATGCGTACAAGTTACTGGTACTGATTTCTCTAGTCACCACACTGAGATAGGTTTTTTTTCTCTCCGGCTCCCGATAAACCTTTTAGTGCATCCGATGATATATATTCAATAATTGAAGTGTGGATAATCCATCCTATTAATCCTGACTAAGTTGTTCCAGCGATGCTCTTTCAAAAACGCGTTGCGGTGCCGCCGGGCTTCCGGCAACCCCATAGGCCAGTTGTCTGTATTTTGCATGATCTCATCAATTATCTCTTGGGGTAGTCCAGCGGTGCTCAGGTCCTCATCTACCGCTTGTGCCCACCAATGGTGCTGCTGCGGGGGCACATTGCGGGTGGAGCAGACGCGATAGTGAGGGTCAACCAGATACAACGTGATGGAACGATAATGCCCCGGACGGCTCGGATCAGCCAGGGAGAAGGGCTCAGCGCGGTGCTCTAGGAGGTTGGGAAATGCGATCAAACGCCCTTGCGAGACCGAAACTGCACCTTTATTCTGCCATGATCTCACTGCATGGTTATCAGTATCGAGGTCCCAGCCATCATATCCCAGGATCTCCGCTACTTCATTCAGATCTGAGTAGCCGTGTTTCCCATATCTCCGGGCCGGCTGCAATCTGGGATGCCGCCTTTGCTCTTGCTCTTCATCCTCCCTATATCGATAAAAGCTTTCATCTAGCTTGGTATTCTGACGGAAAGAAATCTGGGGTTTGGTGATATTATTGATATCGTATGCAAAGATGGCGACAGCTACCACATGCTCATTGAGCTGGCCTTCCATGTGCCAGTCCGTTCCTCTGTAGTCCTGGCTGTCAGGGGTGAGCTCGATGTTCTCCATGTTTACAATTATTTGCAGTCCTTGCGAACGGAAAGTGTCCTGGAGCCGAATAGTATAGGGTTTGTGGGGAGGCGTGACTGGCTTGTAGGGAATTTTGCCCCAATCCTTCCGCTCGCGGACGAGATCAACCACAGCTCTCTCATTGTGGCGCCCCGTCTTCCACTCTTCATAAGAAAACGCGGTCCCTGGCTCTGGGTGGCGGACGCGCAGCAGCCGCTTGACCTTGCGTTCGATTTTATCCCAGGTGTATTGCTGCCAGTCCTCCGGGGCAGGAACGGGAGTAGCCGATCCATCCTCTGGGAGCTCGAGATACTCCTTTGCGCGTTGCCAGAGGTTTGAATCTGGGGGCGGCAACTCCTTGTCTTCGTTCCCCTCCACGTCTGTAAGGCATTCCAGCTGTTCTTGTGCCTTTCGGTGCCTTTTACGGCCCTCATCCGTGTTGTCTCCCGAACTATTAAAGAGTGCTTCTCGGGCTCTACGGTACATCCCTTTCCGCGCCTTTGCTGGAACCCGGAAGGCGAGCAGCCATTCGGGAAGCTCATTCTCCCATTCTACTCCATACGTAATAATCCGTAGCGGCACCGGCCCCAGCTGGCCTTGATTCAGGATATCGCTCCAGCCGCGCTGTCCCTGCACCAGACAATCGTTCCACAACGGGACCGCCCGGCCCACCAGCCCTTCGATTGAACGATAGAGGTCCTGGTGCATCGGGTGCAGATTGTTGATATATGAGGTGAGGCGCATCTTCGTCGACCCTGCATCCCCAACAAACTCCACTTCACACGGCAGAGCCTGGTAATTCGCGCTCCATCGATAGTGAGGTGCTGTTTTAGAGTCGGCATGCACCCCCAACAAAAGCTGCCGCGACTTCTCAATCCGTCTTTGGACATCTGCCGAATCTGTTCTCTTGTCAATATGAGTCGGCGCAAGGGTTGTTGCTCCTTGATACGCGCCCAGCACATTCTCTACCTCCACTCGAACCCCATCAGTCAAAACCAAGCTCCGCCCATGGACCAGCGGAAACAAGTTCGGGTCGATGATACTTAATCTACACTTAGACCGCCAATCCAACAACCCGGATTGCATGAGGGTCCGGAGCACCGGTAGCACCGCACGTTGGAACTCACCAGCCAGCTCCCCCGTTCGAAGCGCAGGAACATGATCAGACTTGCAAACGCAGGACCCAGTGTCCAGCACCTGGATATGTCTCTTCTGACGATATTCGGTGGCCTTATCGCGCAGTTCCCGCACGCACCAGGCCCAAGCCCGGTCACTCAGCAGGGGATTCATCGTGATGGAGGTGGTACTGTTTTGCCGCCAGCACGCCACGACCGCATCGTTGAAGATGTCGACATGCCAGTTCGGGAGATCAGTCACACGGTTCATTGCTGTAGTCATGGCCAGCTCACGTGCCGTGACGGCGGGTGCCTGACGCCACTCTTCAATGCCGTGGGCAAAGCGCGCGTCGGACGGGAGCTCATAATGCAGAGGGATAGCGCTAAACCCGGGCACGCGGAGCAGGCCGTCGCCGCTGTTGTCAAAGGCAATGATGATGGGCTCGTGGATAGGCCTGTGACCATCGCCAGTAGGAGAAGGAGGATCATCGTCCATCTTGTGAGAGGGAAGAAGATTTTCTGTTAACTGAAATAAACCCGAGAGAGGTGGGATGGTGAGATAAGGAAAGCGGGGGGATGGGAAGTCTGACTCAAAGAGAAATGGGCGGCTTTAGCCTTCGTCCCCGAGCCGACTAGATTTAGTTGAAATCCCTTTGGGAGTCAGTCTGTAGCGTTAAATTAGCTTCATAGACTGTTTAGCTCAAAAAGAATAGAGCTAGCTTATAGGCCCTTGGAACTCTGTTAAAGGAGCCTAGTGGGCTCTTGGGAACACGCCATTCTCAGGAGCTCATCGGGGTATTGTCGGTGGTGCTTTGTTTTCGGCTTACAAGCTACATAGCAGGGCGAGAAAGATATAACTTTATACGCTCAGGGAAGCCTTCGGCTTATGCACCCATTGGTGAAATAAGCGGTTCACCGTCGTCACTTGCTAGACCTGATTCCATCAGTTAGCCTTGTTACAGGGAAGTGTGCTAGATCTTAGTAGCAGTCCCAGAGCCCGATTAGTGATATCCGGGCTGGTAAACGAAATTCCAAGGTGGATTCTCAGGAACATGGGGTGAATTGGGAAGTTGATAGGTCAGCTGAATGGCCCTACACTGTGCTTTTTTCACTTGGATAGGGATGAGACTACTAGGTTGAACAAGTTGGCGACGACAGTCCTTATTTGATAGAATGACAGGTGGTTTAAATGGGGAAGGGTAGCCCTATATTCAGGGGCGTGCTCAATTCTACCCGGTGATCAAAAAGCGGCAAGAAGTGAGCACTAAAGCGGAAAGGTCTCGGGTACAAGACATTATCTAGTACATATGCAAATGTAAGTAGTTATATGTACGGAGTACAATTGGCTGACCGACTACTTCTTTTGAATCTTCAAAGATCTACATATATCCTATATTGTACACCTCACACATTGCCACATCAGCCTCCTAACTTAATGCGCCAAGGCCCGGCAGCGGCCTGAGAGACCAGGGTCACGGAGTACAGTTACCGTCTGACTTGAACTATTCCGTACATATATGTGCTTTTTATTTAACGTGACTGCCTGTTCTCTATATATGGATCTCTTTATCTTGGATATATTTTCTTCTTTTTTCCTTTCTAGGAGGTACTACTTATTTCATAATCTGTACGGAGTACTACGTACACCGTTGTAGTAGCCAGCCTTGGCATCCTCCCGCGTGGAGTCAAGAAGGAATGTGGCTGCAAACGGTCAGAAATTAATTACTCTATTCTGAAAAGAGAAAATTGGATTGGTAATTCATGTCCTTATTATCGAATCATACTGCCGATGTAAATTCACATTCTTCTAGACCGAAGAACATAAGGGTCACCCGACATCTCATACTTGAGAACATGGGAACTCGGGGTAAGGCAAGTAGATACCCGCCCCTTGTTGTAAATCCACTGTCTTCGTGCCCATCGTCTGTGCTCGTGGCCCCCGCAAAGTCACTCGAGGAACAAGAATGCCGAGTTGATGGCGAATCCCCATGTGTAGCCCCATCCTTCATGTAACATGCCTTGGCCATTGCATAATTACACATCGAAGATGCCTGCAAATCATCGATAGCTCGTGGGATATCGGTGTAGGCTCGCAACGGAAAATAATCAAAACATGGCGGATCGACATCCAACACCCAACGTATCTCCGCATCGTAGGGCCAAGGGCCAAGCCTGCAACGGCGGATTCAATAGTAAAAGAGCCATGCAACGTTGGCAAAACTCTAGGATTCATCGGCTTGCTGAATCGTTGTATCGCAATGCAAATGGTTTCCCCACAACGCCCGAAAAATGACAATGGAAAATAGCACTGTGCAAACCCCGCTCATGCATTCTTCGTGTCTCGGATTACATCGCCCTTCACCTTGGTCCAGTCGATGTCTGCGTCCATTTTTTCGTCTATTTCGCCGCACACCACGACATTGTCGCCGCGGATCAGGTACAGACCATGTTCAATTTCGGTAGATGGCTCGTCGTCGTCTGGAGTGCGGATGATGCGTTCAACGGTATTAGCGAGGACAAGATTGGTCGTTTGGTCGGTCGACAGAAGATCGCCGATCAGTGTGCGGCCGTCAACTGTGAGGATGAGGACTTTTTCTGTTCGATCGAGGTTGGTCAGTACATGGTCTATATATGAGATGGCATGTGCAAGCAATTCGGCTCATGGGAAACTCACTATTGACGTAAAAGTGGAGAGACATGGTGGATGGGAGAGCGGCAGTTCAACAAGGTGCAAGGGTATCTCAATTTTGCGTTGATCGGGTACAGGTAGATGTACCGCTACGTCGGTATCGAGCTGTGTCTCGAGCTCGGTGATCTTTTCGGGCCTGAAATAGCTCTCTTGCTTCGTGTGAACAGGAGAGAATTCGTGGATTTTCGTTTACTTCAGAGTCCGTCACTTCGCGCAAAAAGTGTTCGCCAAGGCAAAGAGCCGGGTTGGTCGTAGTCGATCGTAGCGAGACAAGGTTGGCTTGGTGAGATTCCTTAAGCTCGCCGAGAGAAATCAAAGCTGTAGAAGCTCTGTTCAAAGTCCGGGGGCCAATTTGATGTGAGATGATCGCAATGGCGCAGAGCGGGTATGTGCTGTTTGTCGAATCTCAAGTGAAGATTGCGAGAGTCCTCCTGGGTGATAACAGTGAAATTATGGAATGACACGAGTCGATGATCTCGACCGATAGCGAAAAGATTGGTGGCAGCGCGCGTCTAGGTGCTTCATAGTTGTTTTCGACGATGGTCGATTGACATCCCCGATTTGATCACGTGCGGAAGCTTATGGGAGAGGTGGATACCACTTCATTTTATACTGTTTAAGGGAGGGATATGAACGAGCTTAGTTGAAAAAGATGGGGTTTGTTGTACAAATTTCATTACAGTGACAATGAGCTACATAGATGACTCTAGTTCAAAAGGATTTATGTATAAAAATTCACTATGTGTGCACGATATCGCCCGCAATTTCCCATGCATTCTAATCAGCCTCGTAAAGCACTCAGATCCAAAGGAACACTACTGCCCCTTCCAGCGCGGTATCGGCGCTCTCCACCGATAAATTGCCGCGGTTTGGAGAGCAGCCCCTCACTTTGGAATTTGAATCGCACGTCTTCTATTTGGACTGGGCCATGTCCATTTCCTTGTGTTGGAGGGTTTCGTGAGCCTGGTGCAGGCGATCCACCATTGGAAAGTGTATAGGCGCTAGGATCTAGCGCTGCAAATGGTTCGTGAGAGACAGGGCGAGAGGAAACAGGGGATGGTCGGGATGGTGGCTCGCTAGGTGGAGCTATAGGAAGTGAAGTCGGAGGCGGTGGTGGTGGAGCACCTGGGGCAGCTGATGGAGGGGGAGGGGGAGGTGCCGAAGGCAAAGAATGTCCCAGGGCGGAACGGGCAGCCTGTGCAGCAATTGACGGTGGGGCTACTGATGGGGGAGGGGGTGGTGTCGATCTGGAAGCAGCCGGCGGGGGAGGAGGTGCCCGAGTCGCGGGTGCTGATGGAGGAGGTGGCGGGGGTCCGGACGGTTTTCTCGATGTAGGCGGTGGTGGAAGCTTGCCCGGTGCTGGAGGTGGAGGAGGCGCGCGTGGAGGTGGCGCTTCAGGGGCCTTTAGGGCTGGCGCTGAAACTGTAGATGAGGATCGTGAAGTAGGCCTCGGGGGAGGCTTCTTCAAGCCGGCAACCAAAGGATTGACCGGCGGTGCAGGTGGGGCAGGCGGCAAATCAGTCGATGAGGGACGAGGAGGCGGCCTGGCGCCGGGGGGCCTGGGAGCTGTTGGAGGCTTGGGAGCTGGCGCAGCAGGTGGTCGGCGTGCACCTTCGGAATCAGAGATATATGGAGAGTCCCGATTGGCACCTGTATCGACACCTCCACGACTGCGTAACTTGGGAATGCCACCAGCAAATATACCTCCTAATTGAGGCGGCATTACACTGGCTGCAGCATCTGCTCCAGAAGTTCCTTCGCTGTTACTTCGTAATCGATTCGCGGCTGGGCCGGATGGTACAGGCGGTGCAAGTCCGCTTGGAGGTGGCCTTGCGCCAGGAACAGGTGGCGCACTCCCGATAGGAGGAGCAGATGAAACACCTCCTGAGCCTCCGACTATAGGTGCTGATCGGTCATTGGTAACAGCCTTCTTCAGCCTGGCGCCCTTATGGATATCAGAAAGAAGTGCGCCCTATATAGGTTAGCTACTGAATTACTTGGGCAACAAACTGTTTGCGTCCATGAAAATTGAGCACCCGATATACCTACCCGGTCTTTAATCTGTCCTTTAGGAGGTCTGCCTGGGAGGGCTCCTGGAGGGGGCGGCGGGGGAGGTCCGCCCAAACCTCCCGGCGGCGGCGGCGGCGGGGGAGGAGGAGGTGGCATGGTTAGGGATCAGTAACGAGACTATCAGGTAGACGGTTGCATATAATTCAGAAAATAATCAGGTCGGGGAGATGTATTCCTTGAATTGAAGGAACATGGAGTTGCTAGGCAGAGAAGTAGTAAGACGTCAGGGTGCGAGTACGGGGAAGTGGACAGCGTAGGGGCGAAGTCTCCGCCTGGACTCTCCCATCGGAAAAAAATACAGCTGCCTCACAACGTCACGCATCACCAAAGCCATGAAAAGAGTTATTTTAACAGCCAATAAAGGGTCCCGGTCACAGGGCCCGATCTGTCAATTATGTCAATTCTCGACTTCAGCACCCCGTCGTGGACTCCCTATCACGCGTCTACCCACCGCTCGCTCAAGTCGAGCTGCGACATCCAATCTCCGTTTACAGCCTCCGAAACGAACCGATAAATTGATATTGGGCTCTACTACACTTATTTCCCGTCGATATGCTTCCGCTGCAACCGCTAAGACAAGTCCAGAGGCTGCAATCAAAGAGATTGCGCGGGATGCATCTGCCGTGCATCAATCAAACGCCGTCGCTTCCAATGAGGTGGTAGTAGAATTGCTACAAAGGTGCCAGCGTGTCGCTGAGTCTCTTGTCTCGCAAGAACGGGATCAAAGCGAGGGGTCCTCAAAGGGCGAGGGCAACGCGATCTCCTCTTTACTGGACCTGGAGGAGAAACAAAGCGCTGCGAATAGCAAAGGCAAACCACAGTCCTCACAACACCCGGACCCACGACTAGCAGATTCAGTCTCAAATATTGCCATTGAACTTTTGAAGGACGAGAAGGTCTTCATCTCGCCTGAAGCTCTGGCCTCCTGCACCGAGACCCTGACTCTGTTGCGACGGGCCGAGCACTTCCCCGAGATCTTCCACCTTTACGCCTACAAGCCTGTCCCAGAGCAGAACAGCTCTCCAGTGAAGTTGCTGAAGGCCAATCCTAAGAGTATCAACAGCGCCGTTCCGGCGGAGTTGGCTAACATGGCTCTTGATGTCGCCATTGCACAGAAAAACCTCTCGCTCGTGCTAGCCATCATCGACAACACTTTCTGTGCCCCCGCCTTCCACCGCGCGAAGATCTTCAAGAAAGCCGGCGTCCCTATAGCAGGCCTTGCAGCTGCCCCGGCTGCTTGTTATGCTCTTGCATCATTCGCCGCGACATTCCAGAATACAATGGATCCCAACGTAGCGACTGGCATTGCGTTCGCTGCTACATTGGCTTATGTTGGCGGTACAGCCTCCATGGGTATCTTGGCCATTACCACGGCCAACGATCAGATGGAGCGTGTGGTCTGGATTCCTGGTATCCCTCTCCGGCAACGGTGGTTGCGCGAGGAAGAGCGCGCTGCCATGGATAGAGTTGCTGTGGCGTGGGGTTTCAAGGATCCTTATATGAGAGGCGAGGAGGTTGGCGAAGAGTGGGCCAGTCTTCGTGAGTTCATTGGCATGCGGGGCATGATTCTGGATAAGACCGAATTGATGGCAGGCATGGAGTAGTCTGATTCCCTGTTATGTGTATTATAAGAGTGTCTTGTTTCGTTTCATACATAATGAGCTATGTAAATTACAACTCTAAGATTGATCTACAGCTACATTATACGAGAGGTAAAACTACGATATTGAGATAGCAAATTGAGACCGATCATGAGCTTCATATTTTTTTCCAGTCGTAAGACTACATAAACCCAGTTTTCAGGCCCAAACTAGAATACACCGGCGCAGTTAAGCGACAGATAATCTAGTAGACACGGTGGGGGGAGACATGGAAGCCTTGATGACAAGACTGCCAACGTTCTGCCAGCCCTTCTTGAGGAGGGAGACAAGGTAGTTGATGGCGAGCATGAGGTTGGCAACAAGGGCCTCCTTCTCCATCTCGACGTTGCCGATGGCAACACCGAGGCACAGAACCTTCTTGAGCTGGAACTTGATGGTGGACTTGACGTCGGTGACCTTGGCGGCCATGTCCTCAGCGTGGGAGACGGGGGTAGGGAACTTGCCGGCCTTGGACAGACCGGGACCGAGGAGACGGGGAATCTGCTTGATCAGACCCTCGGAAGCAAGGAAGGCATCGTACTTGCGAGCAAGCTTCTTGATGAGCTTCTTGTTCTTGTTGAGCTTCTTGAGATCGTCAACGGACATGGCATCGATGCTGTGGTGCTTGGCACGGTCAAGATCGTGCTGGTCACCAAGAATACTATAGATTTCCTCTGTTAGTTTCTGTGTTCATTTGAAATTTAGATATCCCTCGCGGCTGAGCATCGCGAACAGATGTAAATTTTGCGTCGCGGGTTGTCGAGAGTAAACGCACCAGATGGCCATGTTGGGGCGGGGGACGGTAGGCAGCTTGATGGTGCCAGAGAAACGCTTATCACGCTGGGGATCGTAGTTCTTCAGGCCGATCTGAAGCTCAACGGTCTCGTTGAAGTTACGCTTCTTCTCATTGAGAGAGTAGTTGAGAAGGTTCTCGACATTCTGGCGCACTCCGGCTGTAATGAGACAAGGCAGTTAGTGGCAAGATCAAGTAGGTGAGAGTATGATTTGAAACGTACCGACTGTGATCTTGGACATGATTGCTACAGTCTTCCAAAAGAAGTTGATATTCTTATGGTATGGCTCTGCGCTGAATGCTTGAGAAAAGAAATTGTCGAGGGCCGGGAATTTCTCCGCTTGTGGGTGTGGACTGGAGCTAGTCTGGATTAGGATTAGCGGTGCCCTAGATTTTCTTTGCTGACTCATCCCAGGCCTGCCTCGTCTTGGAGCCTGAGGCATAAATTTGGAGCAATCTTCCTCAATAATATCAGCAAAACATACCTATGCTGTGTCACTGAGGATAATGTTTATGCCATAAAATTATTTTTGGTTAGATGAATCTCATTAAGGCCGTCAAAAAGTATCTCGTAGGACAACCTTTCGTACCATCATCATCACGCTGGCAGGTTAATCCATACATCCACGGATACGGATTACTTCGCCCTCACTTCAATTCCACTCGCTCCTACTCCGTACAAAGTATCGCATTACCAACCGTCGGCTCGGCTTGGGTAACGATATTCGTAACCCTAACATCTCTCAGTATTGCTCGGCCATGTTAACATTGCTGCTGCTTCAAGAAACCGTCGAGTCTTATCTATTACGGTTTTCCCGTTATGTACTTCATTTTGCAAAATGCTTGTCGTTACTCTCAGAGGTAATTATTTCAAGTATTAGATTGGACAGGTCTTTACAAGGTAAGGGAACACCAATCGTGGTTGTCAACCCGTCGGGTACGCAAGAAACGAAAAAGAGCTGAACTGATACCAAATTGGTGATTGCCCTTGGAGATGGGGGCCAAAGTGATAAATGTCCGAATGTTAAGCACATAGATCGCAAAGTACTTATACGTCAGAATTCCAAGCTACATATGTACGTATGGAGTATGATTGATGTAGATAGGTTTGTTGTACTCCGTAGGATGTACAAAATAGAAACATCAACCCGATCGCCCCGCCACATGGGCGACCCGCTTATATAGTAGCGATCATTACTTTATTATTTATATTGTATCATTGCTATTGAAAGGGAAAGGGGACCGAGTCATCTCATAATGCTATTGTGCGACAATAGTGGTCACGACTTCATGTGTTCTTAATTACATTGTGTTGTGCATATCTCCGAAGGTCTAGATCAGCCACAAGCACGAGCCTGGATTAAACAGGTGCCTAATAGTTCAGCTGAGGAAATAAGTCATTTGCACAAGCTGACATAAATTGTATTAATTGTCGAATACATATACAACCACCTAGAAATATTCTCAAGACTTCTAGTCCTTTGAACCTTACCCGTGGCATAATATATATAAGTCCGGATGACCGACCAATACACAAGCTTTTGTTAAGTAGACAGATATGTAACACAGCAGCTTACAGAAAAAGCAAACAGCGACCTATTTTAGGAAAAACACCCAACAGGTGAAACGAACCCGACATGGTCTGCGGGGGCTGCAGATGATCGCAGCGCTTAAACGTGACTGGCGGCAGTGTCAGCCCCAGATGACTGGTCACTTCACCCCTTTACCCCATCGATGCCGAAAGGTTGCCTCGGACTTTGATTTAATTGAGGCACCCGAGACTAGACTATTTAACTTGACTTTCCGCTTATTTTTCTGTCATATATTCCGGGTTTGCTCTGTACATTCCATAGTTAAGGTTATTTATATGGCTCTTCGCCTGACCTTTTCCGACAGCCCCCTCCTGACTTGCCAGCTGATCTTTTGATTATTGGCTACCAATTATTAGCTTATTTACCGGTCTTCCCCTCCGAATCCAGCATTTGGCAAACTGCCGTGCTTTGCTTCATCATGTCCGATACAACAGACTCACACGAGTCAACTGCGGCTCAGGATTACTACTCAAGTTTTGACAATGAGGGCTCGTTTGTGGAAAAGTTCAAGAATATCGACGATGAGGCGCAACATTCAGCTGCCATGCTCCGCCTAAAGGACCCTCTTACTCAGAATTTTGTGCTTGATTTCGGGAACGAAGAGGCATGGTGTGCATTTAATCTAGGCACCGACGAACTGAAACTATTGCTCAGCAAGCCAGTAAGTTTTGTTTATCAGGTTCAACTAGTTTATCCAATATCCAAGTTCTGACATGATACAGAGAGGCAGATGTTTCGGTACAAGGTGGATGTACGAACTAAGTTCGCACATGTAGTTGGATGTACACTGACATCGCGATCATAGTAATATATGGGCACCAGAGGAACAGAAGGAAAGCATAAGGGTAGAATGTTCAATTTCATTCACATCTGAGCATTAATAACTGACTGGGCATTTCCAGGCGATTACCAAACAATATGGAGTGTCCGAACGACTACAGGGAATGATGTGCGCGGAGCCAGTGGCTACTGCGCACGAAACTACACCTACGCCATTACCAACCAAGAGACTCTCGCAATCGACTGTTGCGCCGTCATTCCGTAACGAAGTAGACGACCCGGAGAATGCACTCAAGCATCTTGCCGATCTAGACAAATCCCGCGACTCAGCGTCATTCAAGAATCTCACCTTTTCACAAGTCACGGATCAAATATGGCACTTCTCTTCTGTGGATCATGGTCCTCGATGTAAGTATACCACACCAAACTTGAGTCAGGGTAAACATTAAATCATCTACCAGACACATGTATCGGCTATAATACGTTGTTTGTGATTTCCAAGCTATCACAATCAAATGGCAAAGGTCTCCCAGATGGAAAACGGCTTTGGACATGGCTGATCCAGTGCAATGATGGTATGAGCTGCACGGCGACAGCCCATTTTTCGTGCCTCAAGTGCAGCCGCTGATTTTTTTTTTTCGGAAGGCACAATAATATCAATCCAAGAGAACCCATTCCCAAGACGAAAGGCAATGTCGATAGAAGAAGCCAGGCCAGTCCTCGAGATCGTGCGCAGGAACATCCGCCTTATTTTCTCTGGCGTTTCGAAACAGCACTTAGCCAGTTCCGAGAGTGAGTCTCTCATCACCATCCGGGTGCGACATTTTAGTGACCTCGGACCGGATCAAGCGAATATCAAGCAGGAAGATGGACCAAGTTTGCTTTTCTACTATATCTTCGATGACTGGGTGTCAAGCTATGGACTTATCGCAAAGCGAGAACACAAATATGGTGTTGCTTTAGATGAATTGGTGAGCGTCGTCCTTCAAGCACGTGTTATTAATTTGTTGCGATTATGGCTAACTCCACGCAGAGAGGCCAAATGCTGGAGCGTCCGATAGTGGAATTGGTGGATGAGTTGCACTGGCTAGGCCGACGACTCGCAGTTCTCAAACGATTGTATCAGAGCTATGAGCTTATCATGCGGCGACTGTTGCAACGGCAACGCATGCTCCGCGACGAAGCGCGTTCGTCTCAACCAGCCCCAATGACGTATGGAGCCACCTTTGGCGATCTGGAGTACGCGGATATGCGCCAGTCGAGTATCGCGAGCAATTCCATTTATCCCAACGTCAATGAGAAATCGGTCGGGGTGCAGCTGAGCTCAACGGCCGTGGCGCGCTTTGAACGGTTGGTTGATCGCATCAATCTGTACTGTTTGAGCGAGATTGAGAACTGTCTCAATGAGAAAGAGACCTTGACATTCCTGGTGAGTGATTTTTCCCTTCCGACCTTAATTCCGAGTCCTCTGCTGACACGGCCTAGAATTTCAATTTGATTGCGCTTAAGGATTCGCAGGCTGTTGAGAAGCTCACTCGGATCACTATCTTGCTGGCTAAGGCGACTATTTTGTTCCTGCCGGTTAGCTTGATGAGTGCATACTTCTCGACGGAACTCATTGGTGTGAAGAATGGATACACCAAGGCTGATTATTGGGTCAGTTTCGCTGTTATCTTTGTTGCATCCATCTTGGTCTTGACCGTTTTCGGTTATGCCAGCGATACGATGGAAGGTAAAACGATTTATCGGTCCATGATACGAACATTCTTCCGGAAGTCTCGTCAAAAAATAATGCGACGACCAGAGAGGCAATAAGAACAAAACATTGAATTCCAATGTTATTGTTATGGGTAGAAGTGAACCAAAGAGAGAGATTGTAGGGAAATTACGGTAGACGATAAGTGTTGTCGGAGCCTATCAGACACAGTGGGACCTGGGTCTAAGCCTGGGGGTCCCTTTGGTATTTCATTTACGGGACCAACACGGTGTCCTCTTCAAATGTTCCTAGAAAATACATATGTATACTTTACCATATAGCCCATATAGGCAGAAATATTATAGTCATACCACATATATATATCAAGATGTATAGCATCATAAGTTGCTTCTTTTGTAATTTCTCAGCCTCATTTTCTTAGGTTGCGTGCTCTTCAAAGTAAACAGGTGACGAAGACTACGCCCACCGCCAACGGTCTGCGTATTTCTGCGTATTCAAAACAAAAACGAAACCCCAAATTTCCCCTTCTGACTTCTCTCATAATTCCCCTGAACTTGCATCTCTTTACTTCTTAAAACTCAACTTATACCTTTTTCTGCCGGTAAGTCGTTGATCCGAGTTCTGCCTGGCTGCCCAGATTTGCCCCCCCTCCCCCTGACCGACAAGTCCACAACACGTTTTCCAACCCCTCCGGCTTCTCCCCTTTCAAACCACATCCCTTGATATATCTCTCTGACCTATCCACCCCTCTTAGGATTCGAGGGTTTACTCGCTACCGACAATATGGGTATCACTTTCTCGCGGTTGTTCGACCGGCTATGGGGCCGCAAGGAGATGCGCATCCTGATGGTCGGTCTTGACGCCGCTGGTAAGACCACCATCCTGTACAAGCTGAAGCTCGGTGAAATCGTCACCACCATTCCTACGATCGGTTAGTCCGCCTCCCCTCGACCCATCTACCGACGATACCGTGATGCGCTCTTCGCCATTTCATAAGCCGTTTTGGGAAATGTTTTGAAACCTCTCCCGGAAACTGACTCCTCATGCAGGATTCAACGTCGAGACGGTCGAATACAAGAACATTCAGTTCACCGTGTGGGATGTTGGTGGTCAGGATAAGATTCGTCCTCTGTGGCGCCACTACTTCCAGAACACTCAGGGTATCATCTTCGTGGTCGACAGCAACGATCGCGATCGTATTGTTGAGGCCCGTGAGGAGTTGCAGCGCATGTTGAACGAGGATGAGCTCCGTGATGCTATGCTCCTAGTGTTCGCCAACAAGCAGGATCTGCCGGTAAGGACCTTTTTTTTGGGGGATTCGTTGGGATAATGTTTCCTAGATGAAATGGCATGCTGACCTCCCCCGCTTTTGTCTAGAACGCCATGAGCCCCGCCGAGATCACGCAGCAGCTTGGTCTTCAGAGCCTTACCCGTCGTGCTTGGGTAAGTAACATCCTTAGATGTATGCTCTGTTTACATGTTCACTAACAAGCGGTCTAGTTCATCCAATCTACCTGCGCCACCACTGGTGATGGTCTGTACGAGGGTCTTGAGTGGCTTGCCGATGCGCTCCGGAAAACCGGCCGCGATTAAAGTCTATAATGCAAATTCGAATCGGACGTGTAGCTGTGTGAAGGGGAATACCGAAATCTGCAAATGATGGATTGATGATGACGATGGCGGGGAGTTCTTTGGCCACACATGACATTGATCTCTGCAAGGAAAGGGGTTCTGCAACTGGTTCGCTACTTCTTTTTGATGTTCTCTCTTCAAACGGCTCTTTTTCCTCTACGCTATGCTATTAGCCTCATTTGTTTTTCTTCTCTCCGGCGTTGCCACTCCAAAATTGCTTCTCTGCCTTGGAACCCCCAGAGATCTGTATAAGTACTGAATTGTAGAATCTCAGAATCTCATATTGGGCAAGGGAGAGAGAGAGAGAACAAGAAAGGAGCAAATGAAATTTCGAACTTTCCATCTGTTTTCCATCCGCCTACTTTCCTTCCTATCTTGGCCGCATTAGGAGACCTGTAGGGGTGGGTCGGGCTAGGTAAATTTCAGTACGGACGGCGTATCACGTGATGGATTATAGCACTTTGGCCGAGGTTGCTTTTGTTTCTTATGGTTAAGTACAGTAATGAGGCTTATATTTTGCCGTGATGTCTAGTTAACAGCTCTGAGATTATGTGGCGCCTGATATAAATTGCAGCAGGATGATCCACCTAACTAGAGCTATGCGGACTTTCGCAAAGTGTGCCCTAGATCTATAGCAACCACCAAGAGAGATGAACTCATATATGGCCGAGGAGTAGGTAAGATTTGTGTCATCAATCTGGCTAAAATTACTGATTCATATTCATAGAGTTTACGGACTTGTGCTCTGTTATGTCTGCTTGAAAATGTTGTAAATATACACAGCTCTGACTACCAATGACATGTTACCGCGCTGATCCATCACAACTCTCGGTATCTGCTCGTTCCTGATATGGCCAAAGTTTCGTGAATAATTCCTTCTCTTCGTCATCTTCGGCCAACTCAATGAAAATATCTTTGAATTTCCGACTATTCTTGAGGGCTGTATCATAGTCTTTGGGATCGACCATACCATCCACTGGAAGCACGCCTTCATCTCGGAACAATGTCAGCAAATTCCCGACACCATTTATGTTCTCCTGTTCCTTGGAATGAAGCTCAACATCCCGGATGGTAAAATCTATTGGACATGGTACATCCGGAACAAGTTCTTCCCACTCAGCGAAGAGCGAGATGAGTGATTCGCGAAGAAAAAACAGATTGCGGTTTTCCCACGCTCCGGTGACGAGCCAAACTGGTTTTCGGATGATAGGGATGTTCTTATTTTGAAGGACAGACCAGTAACGAGGGGATCGTTTATACACCTGGGCCTCGTAGTATTTGTGAAGGATCTCACCCTCTAGATCAGCGTCAATCTTGCGTTGTTCCTCTGCACTCAGATTATCAAAGTCTTTCGGTCTTTCGGGAACGACCCAGCCTTCTTGAAGAGGCCCATGGTGGGCACACATCTTTGGGACATTGGCATGATAGAATAATGGCGCAACACATGCTGATTGCCAATCCACGATACGTGTGATTTGAAGGGTCTCCGGATCAACGAAAATGTTATTCAGATGAAGATCTGGATGCATTAAAAAGTTGCTTGATGCTGCTTTGTTGGTAGGTTGAGGAGTAAGATAAGATGCAATTTTCATATATTTGGTCAAAAGAGCGAGACCATCGTCGGGATATTCCTGGGTTTTGAGCGATCGATAATAGTTCATCCGAGGAATTGCATGTGACTTGATGTATGCAATCTCGTTATGTCCCAGTGCGCGAGTATAGTCACTAGGTTCCTTCCCTATATTTAGAAAGACAATTAGAGGCTTTACACAAGTCTGTCCACTCTTTTGACTTACAGGGACCACGATCCAAATCCATGCCACTCCTTACCCCATTCCACAATTCGCCGGTAGTGAGAGGTCCTATGGCAAATATATCAGGGACGCTGGTGGTAGCAGACTGAATATTGGCTTCTTTGGGTTCCTCGCCTAGGGAGCGGAGATCATCCTTGAAGTAGATACAGCCATGCATATCGAAAGTCACGTTAGTTAATATATTTTGAATATCAATCACTTGGGTGATCAATTGGAGCTTTGAACTTCGGGGCCATTGGCTCCAGATAGAGCCGAGACGAACACCAGGCGCTTTTTCTTCAATGATATACTCAGCCCCGACAGGAGTACTTGCCGCGTCAAAAGACCATGCTAGCACTCGAGTAACAGGGAGCTTCAACACGTCGGAAAGCTGTAAATTGAATATAAGACTGGATATACCAAAGAAGAGTTGTCAATTTTACTTACTAACTTGCGTGTAGCGATCTCGGATGCAATTGTGAAATGAGCAGGCCCGGCATTGGGATTTGGAAGCTTTGCGAAAACCTCGCATCCGTTATCCATTGTCAAAATAAATGCCTTGTTATGTAGGCCTTCGGCACATTTTGTGATTTTGGTACCTAGTGAATATTAGGATAATAATACTCTGTATGCACGTTGCAATTTCACTAGGTAAGCAACGTACAAGATTGAGCTCCCTCGCAAACACTGATGGCAACCTGAATCAGTTGCTGTAGGTCAAACTCCACATAACGTTTAGAGAGTTCTTTTTCTTCGTCAAATCTTGAAGTTTGAATCAGTCATAATCACTCTTCAAATTGAAAATGAAATTCGTAGCTTACAACCACCGGTGCGTGGTGTATCGGTGCAGATCTCCCTCGAAGATCTTCTCGCCTGGAAGAGATATTATTAGTTATTTTTCGTATTTGAATGGGATTATAATGGATTTTAAATATGATTACCTTGACCGTTTTGTGCCTCAGTGTAGAGCTCAGGAGAGTGAGATCCGCAGTGTCGCCAGCCTAGGCGAGAAGTCGAGAAGAACCTCGTATTTCGAGGTCGAGAATAAGGAAAGGCGTGAACGTTACTTTTCCAACTGGACCAAGAAATTCTAGGAATAATTCGCATTGTGATGAGAATGTATGAATGTGTGATGGGACTTCAATGTTGGAAAGGGGTATGTATGTACCTAGGTAAGTGGATAAAGTCCCGTGCCCCTGACAGCCCTGGAGTATACTATGTAGGCCCTTTAGGCTACCGTTCAAGGTTAAACTTCCAAGGTTGGAAGAGTCACAACCTTATTTTGACCATTCTTTCCCTTTCTTTGCCTTCCAAGGTTCTTTCTAGCTCTTACATTTACAATGGCCACTCGAATAAAGCTCAAGTCTATACCTTCCGCTTATCACCATCACCACTCAGCTACGTCAAGTCTCAAATCTATTCGACACATCTACACTTCACCTCAGTCAAGAAATCATGTTTGCTCCTGCTCTGCGTCCCGCTTGACCATTGCCATGGAGGGGGACTCCTACGAGTCTAAGATTGGCCACGAAGATTTTGAGCCCGATGCCGTCTTCCGTGAAATTGGCACCCTGGCAAATAAGCTGTCCGAATTTATTTGAAACTGGACTCACACCTCGCTAAGAAGTGGCATTCCAAGACCATGTAATTCTGCACTCCTTTATATGGATGGTGTACGGCTCAAATATGATCGAGAAAGCTGGTAGTAGCTTAGACATTACTCTCAAACTCTGTCTCGCGCGCTCTTCCGTGGCGAAGAAAACCCCGAGGAGATCGAAGAGCAAGATTAAGAGCACTTGCTCCTCGAAGGAAAATTTGATCCACCAAAACCTCCCTGCAGACACCTCGGCTGTCCCACGCAGCTGACACGAAGTTGTGCAACGTGCCAAAGCTGCAGCATTTACAGACGAGGTGTGGATCCGTGGCAAGGATCTCAGTGAAGAAATCATCCTCGAAGCCCACCGGATTATGACCTACAATGTACGCCGAAACTGTCCCTTGGGTGGAATACGGTGGCATCTATGGATCATAGGAAGTAATTTCGTGCCTATATATATTCCCTCATTCCTCTCTCGTTCTATACAGAACGAAGGCCATGTTCCACGAGCTTAAGTGCGACCTGAGACAAGCTACAACACATGAAACAATCGACCCTATCGCCTTGGCTTCAAAGTATGCTAATATCGTCGTGAACATCCGTCCGTTTACTGACGGCAACGGCTGAATATGCCGTTTGATTCTCAACTCGATGTTTCTGAAGTATGAGACCTTCCTGGTTTGTATTGGCGTAGACGAATATGACCGGTCAATCTACAAGTCAACAACGCGGCAGCCCTTAAATATAAAAGCCCTCGCTAGGCAAATAATTGGCTAGTTATGTCTTGGCTCATGTAAAAAAAAAAGATATGACTGTTTGATCAGTGCTGTGGAATGAAGTTTAGAGAAGGATTTACGTTGAATATCGTCATGGATTGACAGAGATTTTGCAGGATACACACGAAAAAGCTCAGTATCTAGAGCTGAATGTTCAAATGCAGCCCTATAACCCGAACCATAACAAGCCAAGAGGATATAGGAATATATTAATTAATAAAAGGGAGAAATCTGATCCGCTCGGGCTTTGACCAGTCCATTTCGAGGATGCAACTGCGTAATCCTTCATTTCTTGGACAGCGCCAACAGTCTTGGCACTTTACCTTCAGAAATACCGGCATTTTGGGCACAGTGGTCTTGTTTATCCTTTGTTTTGCATTTTAATATTGTCTAGTTTTACGCTGTTTTCACTGTTTTGACCTGTTTTTACGGTGTTTTACCTCTTTTTTTAAACCTATTTGTACGTCTTTTAATAGACCCAAGGCTAAGACCCCCCATTGCTGGGCCGACGATCAACAACACACAGGTCATCGCGTGCCTCTCCCTCCCTCCAACAACCATCCCCTGCTTTGAGCAATATTTGTACGATTTTTCTATCGTTACACCTGTTAGATAGATGCGCCATTGATTGAGCGATTTTGGACACTTACCCCACTCATTCAATGTTGACATTTTGTCTTGCATCATGACCGTCCAGGCGAGGAGGGCCTCCGCAGCCTACAAGTCCCCATCACCCTATAATTCACGAGATACAGACGTTGAAAAGCAACCCACGACCGGTCGCCACACATACCACCATCACCAGAGTGATGACCCGGATTCCGATGACGAGTCGCTGGACGATAACAATGTCGCGGACTCCTACCCCCCGCCCGTCGTAGCTGGCGGCAGTCTTCGCCGCCCCCAAGCTACCGTTGGCTTTCGCGTGCCCCAGCGCATCATGCGCTGGCTTTGCTTCGCACTTTTGGCAGCCCTTATTCTCTTCATCCTCACCCTCTTCCGCTTTACCATATCCAGCTCCGTTTCACAAGTCCCTGTCGAGCTGCCCAAGGGCGGCAACAACGCCCCGAAGCCGCCGCAATGGGAGAGCTTCCCGTTCCTCAATCGATATGGGGGCGGTATCTCTTCCTTGGTCCCGCGCGCTGATAATGTTCCCGAATATCCTGGCGATGGCTCCGAGGACGTGGGCATGCAGATGGAACAAAGCGACGAGCAGAAGGAGCAGGAGAAGGACACCGACAAAGTGGCCAAGAGGGATTTGGCCCCGAGCATGTTGAGCACCGTTTTTAATCCGTATCCCGACTACCACTCGCCGGAATACATAGGGAAATACGGCGACAAGCGCGAGTGCTTCCTCAATGTAGAAAACACGTTGCGGGTTCCATCTATCCAAAGTTACCCTGGAGTTCCAAAGGGCTTCCCGGACCCAGTAATAGGCTCAAATACGATTTTGGGTATCCGAGATGACATGTGCTTTGACCGTTTTGGCCGATTGGGGCCATACGGATTGGGTTACGGGGTCAAGAAGGGCGGCATCGGCGCCGGTATGGAGGGTAATCGTGAGGGCGCCGACCGTGTGTGGGAAGATGTCCCGCCTGTGGATTTCCGACAGGTGGATTGGGCTGCTGCGCAACACCGCTGCCACGCGGCCAACCGCCATCGCTTTAATGAGCTGCCGGAGCCGCGTCTCAACCGCTTTGTTTCTATGCCTATTGGTATTCCCAAGGTGGAAATCCCGCCGCCTGCGGAAGATAATCGCACGGAACCACCCAACGTTGGATCTGAGCGTCTGCCGCGTACTGCATTGGTTATCCGCACATGGCACGACTTCAACTATTCCCCGGAGGATATTATGTATATGCGTTCTGTCATTTCAGAGCTCTCGTTGATGTCCGGTGGCGAGTACACTGTTCACTTCTTAGTTCATGTCAAGGATACCAATCTACAGATCTGGTCTGATGACGAGACATACCAGCGTGTGCTTGATGAGGCACTACCGGAGGAGTTCCGCGGTATGGGAACTCTCTGGTCCGAGCCGCAGATGGCCCTGATGTATCCCGGATTGGAGGAGACCATGACTCGCGGCTTGCCAATCCACGGTGTCTATCGCAGTACGTACATGCCCATGCAGTACTTCGCTTTCCAGCATCCTGAGTACGATTACTTCTGGAACTGGGAGATGGATGTGCGTTACACAGGCCACTGGTACCACCTCTTCGACAAGGTCGGTGAGTGGGCGAAAAAGCAGCCGCGAAAGGGTCTCTGGGAACGTAACGCTCGCTTCTATGTCCCATCCGTCCACGGCTCATGGGAAGACTTCCGACAGATGGTTCGTGTTCAAACCGAGAGCGGTACTAACTCCGCCAATAACATGTGGAGCGCCGTCAAGGGTGGTCCGGCAGGTAACACGCGAAGCGCAATGCACCAGCAGGGTGACAAGGCCATCTGGGGTCCCGAGCGCCCCGACGAACGGGACATCTTCGAGGTTGAGGGTGAGGGTATCCCACCCACAAGCATGGATAAGGACCAGTACCAATGGGGTGTAGGCGAGGACGCCGACCTAGTCGTTTTCAACCCGCTCTACGACCCCGAGGGTACGACCTGGCTGCTGCGCGACGACGTGACAGGCTACAACAAGGAGAACGGCATGCCACCACGGCGCACCGCAATTATCACCGCATCACGGATCTCCCGCAAATTGCTCACCACTATGCATCGCGAATGCAGTCTCAAGCGCCACAGCATGTTCTCAGAGATGTGGCCCGCGACCACCGCGCTGCACCACGGCTTCAAGGCCGTCTTCGTGCCGCACGCTGTCTACGTCGACCGTCGCTGGCCCACCCGTTACCTGGAATCAGTGTTCAACGCCGGTCGTAACGGAGCCTCCGGCGGCGCTCGTACATCTGTCTTCGGCGATCGTGAACACAACTTCCGTGGTACGACTTGGTTCTACTCGGCAGGCTTCTCGCCGAATATCTGGCGTCGCTGGCTTGGCCTCCGCGTCGACAATGACGGCGGTGAGCAGCAGGAGCTGGCTGGCGAGGGCCGCATGTGTCTCCCTCCTATGCTTTTGCATCCTGTCAAAGAAGTCAATATGATCATTGACGACGGAGAAAAAGCAGAGGACCGTTGAAGATTAAGTCCTGATTTGAGCGTTGTTGCTTATATCTCTCTTCCTGTCATCCCCAGGATTCATGTACGCTTGGGGGGTAATTGCTTATTTTCTTGCATTGCTTCTCATAATTACTGTATAATGCCCCCTCATTCCCCGGTGGGCATAGTGTCCCCAAGTTTTGGATTCTTTCTCAATTTCGGTGCGAAAAAGGCGTTCCCATGGCCTGGATGGCTGGGTTATGGCTTACGATGCATTTCTGGATTTTCCCCTTGTGGTCTAGTCAATAGAGGTTCGCTAGATTGTGATATACATCGGGAGGGTTTTGGAATCTTGTTTTTCTGGTTTCACTTGGACTGGATGAGAAGATGACTTCTTCCAGTCCTGGACTATTTTGGCTATAAATTGTCCCTTGCACATAATCCATTTTGGCTTTATGAGATTCACTAGTGTATTCAAGTAGAACATGGTATGTCGCTAGAAATAAAATGCCATATAAAATGCAAAATAGCCATTTCAACCAGACTTTACATCATCGAAAAAAATATCGTCCCATTCCCAATCCCCTCCTCCATCTCCATACCCACTATCATTATCCTCATCATCTCTAATATGCACCCTATCCCCAACTTCATCCCATCCTCCCCGTCCTTTAGAAGGCGTAGGAATCTGTCCCGAAAAATCCTTGCCCACCACCACCGGACTCCGCGCCACAAAATCAGCAGGAATAAAACAAATACTACACTCATACTCCCCATCCCCATCAACCCCATACTGAAGACAAGTTCTACAAACCCGGTGACCACACTTAGTGAGCAAAACCTCAACCCGCTCCCCGTCCTCAACACAAGTATGACAGAAATGCGTCGGGAATTTGATAGGCGGGTCGTGGTCCATTCGACGCTCGATCTCGGAAGCGAGCTCTTTGCCTTTTTCGACGCGCGCGCGGAGAAGACTGGCTTTTGTGCGGAGGTTGTTCATCGTGGTTGTGTTGTAGGGGTTGTTGTTTTCTGGGTCTTCTTTTGGATCTGTGGTTGAGTCGGGCTTGTGGAGGGTTGGGACGGGTTCGAGGAAGATCATGGGTCGAAAACGTTCGCTGAGAGGTTTGTCTTCCATGCATTGTTGTTCGAGGAGGCAGCGCCGGCGGATTTGCCGGTTTAGGAGAATTGTGTATATTATCGTGAGGGTTTTCCAGGCGCGCCATTCGGAGACTGGGTCTAGGGGGGTTGGAGTTTTGCTTGGAGACATTGTGTTGGAGATATTTGTAGTTTTGGCGGGTTTGATTGAAGAATATGTATGTTTCAATGTAGTTGAGAGGCGTGGCGAACATGTAGATCGAAGTATGTATTGCTTCCGAACCCTATTTGGGTGGATTATAATTCTGATTGACCTGCACTTCTCGAGAACTTTATGTTCTAAGACAGATAAGTTTGAGGACATGCAAAAATGTAGAACCATAGAACTATAGAAACGTAAAACGTATAGACGTGGGCTATGTAGAATATATAGAACACGTACAGAATCTTCCACCGAGGTTCCAGCGATCAACAGAAGATAACCCACCCCCAGACCAAACCAAGCTTTTCTCTATATACGATAATTGGCTGGATTATGACTCCCTGTCCCAAACATATTAGACCAGAGTCGTTATCTCTACTTAAAACCTCATGCCGAGATGTATACCATGGATATATACCCGAAAGATCGGCGACTTCGGGGATATTCTTTTCCATCCAAAGAGAATGGAGAACCGGAGATATGTGAGCAGATTAAGCTATCGGAGAATGTCTAGAAAAGTTCTAGACGTCTGAGATATCAATATTTGCCTTTTCAATATCAACGTGGTAGGTGACGACTACATTGGTCTAGAACATCCAGCCCGTGGATATGATATAGAACTTCACTTCTCTCCCCTGTAGATTATTTCCCTTCCAATTATACAAAACTTTTTTCAACTCTGTTCAAGAGTCTCCAGTATTTTATCCACTCTGGTCTATATATCGTGCTCTCGCTCCTTCCAAGGGTCGGAAGTACCGATCGCGCCCTATCTTCCTAATCTCCAGTCCGCCCAGTCTTCCAAGAGCAAATTCCCAATCTCAGCTCCATCCTCAGTCTCTTACGTAGAAATAAGAATTTAACTCCCTCTTCACTTTGCTTATTACACCCGCCTCATCTTCCAAACCCACCTCAGTACATTTCCAGGACGAGATGGAAACCCCCTTGAAATGGAAAGTGTATGAATAGTTGACTCCAGAATCCAAATCAACACTCTTCGCGGATATCACATACTCCCCAGGAATAGAAAGTCCCTCTTTTCTCCCCGGGCCAAGAGGCGCCAACTCCCATATTTGAATAAGTCGGCCAACTGACAGCTGATCGGCCAAGTCCGATGACCATATCTCGATTTGGGAAGTGGCAATATCAAATTCTACTGCCAAACGCATGAACCACACATTGTCTTGCACGGGCTGTTCCCGCCCGGTAGAGTCCACATGTGTCTCCACACAGACATATTCCCTATCATATTCCGAGCTGGTCGGATAGCGCGGATAAAAAGCTTGAATCCCAGATATTTCTGTTTCGCCAACAGCACCAGCTCTCCGCCTAGAAACTTTCCAAGTCCCGTGCAGAGCCCGAAATATAGCCGAAGCTGCAGCTTTCTGTGCTACCTCGCAGCCAGGGACAAGAGCGTCGCGCAAAGCACCGAGTGTCCTCTCCGCCTCACTCTCTGTGCCTAGTGTTGGTGTATCGCCATAAAGATACCTAGCAGGAATAGCAGGCCCAGACCGACCGTTGCCTGCTCCCAGTGCCGATCGACTAATATCCAGATCTTTGGCAAACGACTCCATCAACCCGACATAGTCGCCCATGGGGAACTGACCTCGCGCTAGATCCGGGTGTGCCGATCTAAGACTGCGAAGGCTTTGCTTCTGGTTATCTGTTTCGCAGAGCACGCTGTTGCTCTCACTCCATAATTTCCCAAGGAATCTCGCTTGCATCTCCATCACGCCCCAGTACGGGCCGCGATAGAACCCGACAAATCCGACATCGGATATTTCAGAGCGTACGGTGCCTCCCTTGTCAAGAATCAACGGCGAGAAAGGATCCGTGGTGTATTCAAGGGTCGCCAACACTTCGTCTGGTAGTAATGACAGGGACTTGTAGGGCGTGAATCCGGTCGCCATGACTATGGCCGCCACATTGTCTATCGTCTTGGTCTCCCCGTCGGGTCCTTTGTACTGAACTGAAGCTTTTTTAGTATCCGGATCAGAATGTATAGAAGCCACCCGGCCCATCGATGTCTGAATCGCTCCACATCGGACGAACTCAGCATAGTCATTGCCTATGGCGACCCATGGTGGCTGGGTTCTGGATTCTTCGGCGCCTTGTGGAGAAGGTGAATACATGTGGGCATATTTCTCGTAGTCACTGCCAAGCAAGGAGTGGAAGTAACTGTTCGTTTTGACGGCCTTTTCTTCTGGCATCGGTCCCAAGGCGTATTCTATTGGACCCGGGGGTCGGCGGCCTAGGTCGTACATGGCCAAGTCCAATGGTAAAAACGATGGACTACCGTCGGAAGATTCATGTGGAAGATAAGTCGGTATAGTCCAGAAGGGCCTTGAATGTATATGGTGTACTTTTGTCTCTTGGGTATGTGGGACTCCGTTTGTGGAAAGTGTAGATGAGGATTTATGGAGAGCAACAGCAGACGCGGCTTCGACGCCTGACATGCTGCCGCCGATGACGACAATTTGGTCGTTCATATCTTTGGGTTCGTTAGAAAGCAGCTGCTCTCGCTTATAATGGAGCGAAGAGCTGTGGATGATTTGGCCTTGGAATTGCTCTAGACCTGGTATATTTGGGATATACTGCTGGGCGAAGTATCCAGATGCGATGACGATCAAGTCAAAATCTTCTGAAAATACCCCATCGTCCAGTAATCCACACCCTGGCTCAGTTTTCTCCGCACTAGATATGGCTGTGAGTTGACGTCCAGCTCGAGCATAGTAATACACATACCTTTCCTGGACCCACTGAACATTCCACTTTGGATCACCTCCATCCTCAACCTTCCGTATAGTTCTTACGACTCTACACCCTAGTCTAAGCACATGGTCTGGAATATACCGCTCTGCATAGCAGGCCAGGTACTCTCCAACCTGGCTCGCCTGAGGAAAAATCGGAACATCTGCGTCGGGAATGACAGACTCCCAGGCAAGATCTGAAAAGGCAACCGTGAAGCGGCTGAGGTTGGTCCGCATTCGAGGGTCTAGTGTAACCAAGGGGCCATTGGTCTGATCGGGAGAATGATGGTGACTTGACCATAGACCTCCGACTTTGTTCTGACGGTCGAAAATGACTAGAGAGAATGTCCCGAGCGGGAAATTATGAAGAAGGGTTTTGGCCGTAACCAGGCCCGATGGTCCAGCGCCTGTGGGATGTGTTAATTAATCTCAGGTCGGATATTCCACTAGTCTAGACTTACCGATTATAGCTACTTTCTTGGGTGACATCTTAGTCTCTTTGTATTTGGCGTGTTTCAACATACTAATGGAAGTAATATAAATCCAAGGCAGATGTTGTCGCTAGACTTACCCCGCTTATATCCACTTGGGAACTCGGGTATCTTTCTATTTTTATAATTTACATCGCAGGATCTCTTTGAATACGATGTATAGCAGCAGTTAGTTTACAAGCCCACAAAACCAACTATAATGTGGACTTGCGTAAATCTCATGTATGTCGTCTGTTACGCCCATATCGAGCTGAACATTATCATTTAGACATTATCTGTACATTGATGTACTACTACACAAAATTTTCGGACGCTCTAGGCACTCATCTTTTAACGATGCTATACCTAAACATGAATGTATTTTGCATATTCTTCACCATTTTTGAGCCGTTTGCGCTGTGTATATCATCACGTGCTATTTGGAATATCCAGCCCCCCTTTTATTATTGTTTCAACCCCATTCGCCTTCGATTTCAACTCTGATTCAGGTCCACAATGGAAGGACACCCTGTGTTACTGAGTTCCGAAGGCACCGTCCGTATTGTTGCACTTGGAGGTGCCGGGTGCATCCATCAAGATTCCAATTATCAAGACCAGGTGATTAAAGCACCCCTGAAACACAATACTCGAGGCTGCAGTGAAAAGGTCATCAAATCTGTGGAAAGAAGAGAGGAATTCTCGGAGCTATGCATAAACCGCGAAAAGCTCATTTACCAAGCGCTCCCAAAATATGATCCTAATATCTTAAACTGCCTTGCAATCACCGATCGAGGAATCCATCTCCCCTATTTACGGCACGGGGATGTTCGAAGCTACCTACAAAATTATTCAGTCGATGCCGAAACACGAGATCAATGGATTAACAGCGCCATTGATGCTGTTGCCACTATCCATATCTATGGCGTCGTGCACTCCAATATTAGCCCGCGTAACTTTCTCGTGGCCGACGATTTTTCAATTCGACTATGCGACTTCGCTGGATCGAGAATAAATGATCTAGACTCCCTAGTGGAGGAGGAGACTCGATACCGATTACCTTCCTCACCTTCGCGGACAATTATAACCGATATCTTTGCGCTTGGTTCTTTGATCTACGAAGTCTCTACTGGTGTGCGCCCCTTTGATGAGATCGACGATGATGATGAAATTGAGAGAATGTTTACGGAGCAAATTTTCCCAAGTCTTGAGAGTCTTGAATACCGTGATATTATTTCTAAATGCTGGAGATCTCAGTATTCTAGCGCTGATATAATAAAGGGCGATATTCTTCGCCGTCGCAAACATCTGCCTGAACCCATGCAATGTAATTATCCTTTAATATTTTCTACGTTGGCGATGATTGGCATGGGCTTTGCTGTCGTATGGGCGTATATGGGGCGGAAGAGAGGATGAATTCGTTTTCAGTGGCTTTTTTTTTTGCTCAATTGAATTGCTTTATTTCTGATAAGTATACCTAGCTACTGGAATACCCTCACTATGACTTTGTATAAGCTCTCTATCTGTTTCCCAAATACTAGCAATATGACAACCAACCTTGCAATCACTGCAATTATTGAACCGTCTGGTAGACCAATGTTAGCAACCGAGACTCGGTTTGTAATCGTACCACAGTTTTTGTCGCAGGGGATGGTGGCAGTTTCCTCGTCTTCATGTCCGCATTTGAACTTCACGGGGCCATAAGTAAGTGTACACATTTTTATGTTCTCGTGGTCATTAGCAGCCACCTCTATCTCAATAGGGCCATACTCACTAAGTTGACGATTATAGTGGGGGTATTGTGTTGAATATGGTAAAGCTAGGGGTATGAAGAGCTAGATGGAAAGAGAGGGAAAGCGAAGATATAAGCAAGTACATATACCTAAGTCTAACATACATTTCTCCAAATCTACAGCCAATGAGAGCTTGCGAGTAGGCCAAAGGTTGGCGTGCATTCTACTATTTTTATAGCCAATGAGAGCCCCTACTTTTTGCCCAAGGGCGGCAGGAGCGCGAGACTCGAAGCCTACGGAGGTCGAGTCCTTCATGTAGGCTGGGTGACAGAGAGACAAGTGCACGATGGGTGTATTGGTTTTATTTCTAGTTATATCACAGGTATAGATGTGCATGCACCGTACGTAGTTGTCTATGGTGCGACGAAGGCTAATGAACGCTATCTCATCCGTGATTGCCTTGCTGGGCTATGACTAGTTCGGTAATATCTTCTCCGAGGACTTTCTCTCTTCCCAAAATTTCCATATATACCATGTACTAGGAATAATACTTAGGAATAGATAAATTTGATATAATATGGCTGGCAGATCTACCTAAAGGCGCTAATAAAACATAACACAAAACGGCACGAAGACGGTGTAAACATTAATTATGTAGCAAAGTCTTGCACATAAATTCATCCATGAGTGACATCGTGCATCGTACATCTCTTTCAAATTTCAAATCTTGCCAAGCAAATAGCACCTCCGACATGCATACCAGCAAATCATGACGTCCATGCCAAGCCTAACCTCAACAACCAGGGGTTACCCAGGTGAATTTGTACAAGGAACAACCCTGACCGGATAAAAATTCTGGCCCCCGCAAAAGGCCAAGGCCACATCATTGCCAGGATTGACTTTGCCCGTATTCAACGGGGCGCTCTTGCGTGCGGGGGAGGGGAAAAGAAGTCACAAAAAGTTCGAGAAAAAAAAAGCCTAGCGGAACTCTGTCGTATTCGCATTGACGTTCGCATCCTCGTGCTCGTGATTGTGCTCCTTCCCGTATGGATTTATACAAATGGTACTTTCGTCCTCAGGAGACTTGTCGTAGCCATTCAGTGACTTGGATCTCAGGCGAATGTAGATTTGGCTTGTATGCTTCGTCGCATTCTTGCTTTGTGACCAAATTGTCGATGTTTCTCTGAGTCAGGGGAGCTTTGTACTGATTCTTTTTCCGGAGGACTTCCTTTTCCGCGAAGGCGGATGGCGACAGCTTTGACAGTGTGTTTCGAAGTCGTTTAATGCCACCGACGGGGCGCGGAACTTGAGGTGCACCAAATGGCTCGGCGGATCTCCATGGATTTTCAGAAGTCACGGAGTCGACATGCTTCTTACGCGGAGACAGTGTTCTCGACATTGTTCCCGACATGTGTTTGAAGAATTTCGCAGCATCTGAAGTGATCTGGAGGAGAAGTAAGGTGTGTGGAGAAAGGAATTCGGTTTGGTTAAGTATGGACAATATATAAGTAATGGGCATTCAACTAATTCCGCGGGACCCACGGAGATGGCGCCCTGTGATAGTTTGGATCCTTGTCGATTTTACCGTAGTAATCTAACAATGGTATACTTCCCCGAATTTTTCGGTGGTACTGGACGCTCATTGGGTGTATGCATACGAACTTAGGCTGATCTGCCACTGGGGCTCGGAATTCGAGAATTTTCACGCACAATAATAATAATACATTGTACATAGTCTACCCCGAATCCTACTACGTCATAAATCGGGATGGAGATGCCGATCAAGGTGATTGCCCACTGGTCTTGGCACAAACTGGCCAGTGGATTAAATATAACTTTCCCAGGGAAGAATACTGCTTATTGCCCAATAGGAAGTGAAGAAATTGAATGAGCCCTTCAAGGTTTCTAAAGGTCATAAGGCGTGCAAAGTATAAAAATACTCTCATTTAAGCATGTGATAGTCTATTACATCTATATTGATATATAGTACTCGGAATCCAGAGTTCAATTCTATACTTAATAAGTAAATCGGAAACTAGGATGATCGTCTCCAGCATTCTCCAACTCCTCCTTAGGCAAATGATACCGATCATCCCTCTTACCCTGCTCCCGCAGCCGATTTTCACGGTATACATAACCAAAGAACACCATACACGCCACGCCACCGATCCATATCATCCCTAGACTAACACCAAACCCAGTTCGGTATGTAGGAGCCTCCGAGTCAAAGAACACATTGCTAGCAACCAGACCGCCACAATTACCAAATCCGATCTGCATAGCTGAGGCAATGGATTGCTTGTAATGCCCAGCCATGTTGTTACTCACCCAACCCAACAAGATCGGCTGCGTCATATATCCTCCGCCCGTGATCGCGAATAAGGCAAAGTATCGGGCTCCGACCGGTACCGACTCCTGACAGATGAGAATAACGTACCCAATTGTGGCGATGATACATCCCAATATCGTGAAGGTGAAACGATGGCGTAGTCGGTCGCTGGCGAACGCTGTGGCAAGTGCGATTACTGTCGCGACGATGTAGATGGGGATGCTCATTACTTGAGCTCGGACGGATGTCCAGCCGAGCTGGCGGAGGATGGTGGGTGTGAAGAACGAGGTTGCATAGCCTGTATTGACAATTCCGAAGTACATAATAGCTCTAAAGGAAACTAATCGTCAGTGGAAGGATTTCATGGGATAGAGGAACTCAATCTTACCCAAGATAGATCTTGATATCTGAGAATGTGCGCTTGATGGCGGGTTTGTCGAAGCGATTCATTTGCGCTTCACCGCGGTCTTCCGATAGACGTCGGAGCAGCAATGTACGCTCCTCCTCATTCAAGAAAGTAGATGTTTCGGGCCAATCGACGATAAGAAATTTGGCAGCAATTCCGGTGCATACTGTAAGTAGACCTTCGATAATGAAGATCCAGCGCCAGCCGCTATATCCTCCGACGCCATCCATCTGGGCTATTCCATAGGCAAGAAGCTGGGAACGAATGGTTTAGTATGGAATCAGCTCATCATCCAGGAAATACATACTCCACTGACTGCTCCAGCCAGAATACTAGCGCTGAAGAAGATATTGAATCGCCATTGCAACTCGTGGCGCTTATAGTACATAGCAATCAAGTATATGCAGCCTGCATTGTACAATTAATACTTGTGCTATAAAGTCAATGGTCAAGGCTATCCAACCTGGCATCAACCCGGCCTCAAATACACCCAGCAAGAACCGACATGCAACGAGGGCACCGAAGCTCTTTACAACACCTTGACATGTTGTGATAATACCTGATATCATCGAGGTCAGTCCCAGTCCCTTCACTTATGTCGGTTCAAACATACCCCAACAAAACATAATCCCGCTCAACCACCAAGACGGCGAAACCTTTTTCAAGAAAAGATTGCTAGGAACCTCAAAAAGGATGTATGGAATGAAGAAGATAAATAGGGCGATATTATAATCGTGTCCCGTCATCCCCAGATCCTTTTCAAGACCCTGAAGTCGCGCATTACCGATATTGATACGATCAAGGAAGGCAAGCATGAATAGGAACATGAGAATAGGAACAACGTGGAGGTCGAGTTTCCATAAGAGTCGTTTCTCTGCCGCTGGATCTATGTCTGGCACCGAAACCGTGGACCTAACATCCTCGACCGTCTCATCGTATGTTTTTTCCGGGTCCATTTCGGATAGTTCAGATCGGCCTCGAATTGATACAAGCGGCCACCAAGATCAGAATGATTCACAGAACTGATGGCAGAACAATCTCTCTTAAATACATTTGGTGATAAGTCGCTATCGTGTGCATAGTCGCGTGAACTGGGGAAATCCGGGGCCCCGCACTACGACATTATGTTGATATTCCGCATTCTTTGATCGCAGTCGGTATCATTCCGCAGGAATGCAAATAATGCACAGAATGCATAGCTCGATGCATAGCTTGCATATATTGGTGCCTAGTTTGCTGCACATCCTGCTATCTAGGCCTGACTCGGTATATACCGAGTATCTGATAGTTTTTTTAGGGATATCGCGCTTGCGAACCTGTTCACTAGGATATAGAATGAGGTCTTGGTATTGCATCAAACTCCATAGTGCAAGAGCGGGGTATCAGTTTTCTATTTAAGATTCAGGGTTCAAAGGTTAATTTTGTGAAGCCGATCCTGTGTATGGCGGAACGGTACCGGAATGATACCGCATGTTGCCGTATAGGAGGCTCTTCCGAATACGATCGGTTCGAGAGAATAACCGATATAAAGATAGCCGAATATTGATTTCAAATGCTAGCAGGAGACTAGAGCTTGACTTTATGCAATTGTGCTGTGCTGTGCTGCAACCCCTCACGCTCCCACATTCCTGCGAATTGCCGGCTCCAATGGGAACGCCTGCTTATCCTCTACAACATCTTTGTAGACTATATCCCAGCGGTCTTGGAGCTCCTGGGGTGTTTCCCATGCATTTTCAGGATCTCGCAGCCAAAGTCTCAATAAATGACGCCTAACACAACCGTCAGCATCTTCATCAAATAAAAGTACATGGAAGAAAAATGACTTACTCTTTACCGGGACTGTCTTTAAACCCATTGCGTGCATGGAAAATACTGAGATTATTCACATATTGCACATCGCCTTTCTGGAAATCAAGAGCGGCACTGTGCTCTTCCGCCAGGAAGTGTAAAGCGTCGAGCGCCTCAGCCTGTGCTTCCGTAATAGGGGGGATACCCTTCGATCGGGGCTGAGCTAGGAATCCGGTGAAGTATCGTCTTGCATACTGAATTAGGACTCTCTCTGGCGTAGTGGCAGTGGCTGGTTGGTGGTATAGAAGTGGGCGGAGGCTGTAAGGCTTTGCTGGGTTATTAAAGCTGAACAGTGTTAATTCGCGAATACGTCTCCTTGGTGTTTGGTAATTCTTACCCATCGACTGGCCAATCCTGAGATAGAGTGTGAATAAGATCGGGTCTTTCCTTCGCCAGGATGTTATACACATGCCAGCTGCTAGACAGATAACTTTCTCCTCCTTCTGCGGCTCGGTTCAGACAGAGGAGTGAGATGATATCGCCAGCGTCCGTGTGGAAAACCTGCTTATCAGCCGTGTTTGAAGGAGCCCCGATTAGGCTCTTCTCGACTGTGCTGGTGAGGTCTTTGATATGGGATATCACGGGCGAAGTGCCATCTGCCAGTCGAGCTTCTTGCTGACGTCCTCGAATATTGCCGATGTGGGAAGATACGCCGGTGTAGATAATGATGTTTTCTTCTCGATAGTAATCATCGATTCGCAAACCCCGGAGAACGACGAACCCTCGACCGGTGTGGATCTCCTTCGAAAGGTCCCGAAGAACAGGCCGAAGATTCGGCAGAGGGAAAGTCGACTGATTGATATGGCCCAAGGAAAGATTGAGAGCTGTTGAATCAGCAATGTTATCTCGATAAGGAGTATTGTGATCTTAATTGCCCACCTTTGAATCTCTTCAAAGCAGCGTCGAGCTCATCCAGCTGGTCATCGCTCAGCTGATAGATCCAGTCATCCCGTTTCTCAACATCCTTTCCTTCCCAGACTAGCGGCGATACCAACTTCTGTGGGAAGTTTGCAGGCAAAGTGGACTGCAAAGTCTCGGTTTCTTTTCGACGACGAGTACGTTCCTTGTACTTTTCATATTCAGGGTGATACTGAATATCGGGCTGGGTGGGCACCGTGATAGTCTGAACAGCGGACATATTGGTTATTCTGAAGGTAAGTGAAGAAACAACGGATGTTAGGTGACAAAGCCCTTTTAAGAGTGTAGATCAGCTTTGCGTGTTCAAGGTTTATGGTCGCGCCATGTACTGTTACTCAGAATGTGGTTGTCACGACATCAACCCCGCAAAGCGCGAGATCAAAACTTGAACAGCACCGGAGAGCCTTTGCATCGCATATTGTGGTATAAACACTAGCTTTAATCGTACCATCAATATTTTCTCGGTATAATTGCCTGGGGGTGGTGTCTAATCCTAGATCCTTATTTAATCATTCTACCTGTCAATATCGGAGAGTTCAACGAACATTGCAAAGGTTCAAGACTAGTACTTCTAAATAGAAACGGTCTTTATTGAATGTAGTTGCTCAAACTGCCCTTTTTTTTCTCCATCTATCCGGGCTAAAACCCGATTAAGTGGTTTTGCTGAGACCAAAAATCCTCATCTTATCACTCCTAGGGTGTGCTTCTGGTCGGAACATATCCTGGAAGGTTGACTTTCTCGATATTGGCAACATATCCGCCCTCTAGTCTAGCACGAGGAGTAAAGAACTTATAAGTGCTATCGAAATCTATATGAATTGAGCCCACACGAGTTCCAGACTAGGTTTGCAATCCCACCGTTATAACCTAAATTCGGATCGTCATTCTCATTCGAAGACATATGTGCCATGAAGCCCCTAAGGGAGGAATCTAGAAGTATTCGGTTTGGAGATTGGATGTCTCAAATCTCAAAGTGCTGGATGTCTGCAAGAGTAATACGTGGATCCTAAAATAGTTAGTATGACAAGATCCCACCCTGAGACGAATAAGCCAACCGACAGCTCTCTCTATTGCATTGCAGACTGCTTCGGCCAAAGTCTGCCGTTACTGCCACTTCTGACGACAATGTCGACGAGAGGAGAGCCAATGAATCGGACCAGGATCCTAGCGGTAGTCTAAATTTCTGGCTCGTGGTTGAAACCGGGTATCTTCAAGGATATAGTATGAAACTGACGATATTCTGAGTAGAAAATATGAAGGATGTAATCCTGTAAGGAACGAATGTACCAAGGATCGCCGAGTAAGGGCAGCGGAAAGGGGTTTCATCTTGTTTACATCCTACAACGGTACAGAGTAATCGTACCCAGAAAGCAACCAACTCCAAGTAGCCATCTCTCTATTAGTGACGGCGAACTTAGACCCTCGAGCTAGGCCCTTCTGTACTCGGGCGTTCAACTTTTGGATAATATGTGTCCATTGGTTCTACCCACTGACTAGGATGTGAAACCTCTAGGGCAGAATATGCTGACATTATCCCTAGCGACGACATTGCAACGGCCTATGATACGTTTGTATCGTCCTGGATCAAGCCTCCCTTTCATCTCTATATTCCATTTGCCCACTTGGCGCCGTATTTGCAGCCTGTAGGATAGCGTATTGTACCAAACAGCTGAGTGGGGAAACTAGTGGCTGTGGCAGACTAATTGAAGCGTAACTCTCAAAGCCCCGGGCCCATACCGGTGCTTAGATAATTAACCTAGCGCCCCGGGCGGGCCCATCCCTACCTGGGTAGGTAATCATCATAGGTGTTGGGCTCTCGGCACGATCCCCATTGCCTAGATAAATACGTCTTCTACCTACAGTACAACGGCATTCTACTAGTATTCTACTAGTATTAGATTTTCAAAAAATAATACATACTAGTTACCTAGGTACAGTACCTACTTTAGTAAGCGGCATATTGCGGGTGCTCCGGTGGATTAGATGTGGGGGAAAATACAGCCATAACAAAAAACCAAGGTTCCTGTTTAGGTAGGGCCTAGGGGGCCATATCCCAGTCTGAAATTAGAACCTAAAGTAAAATAAAAACGGCGAGGAGCAGTATGTATAATATTTTAGTGCATACCAGTGAGAGAGAGCGAGGGCATCAACTAGAGGCTTGACAGTGTAAAGTAGTAGTAAAATATAGATAGCCTCTTGGGATTACAACCGGAATCTCAGAATCCGGTCCGGTATTCAACTTCCTATTTGGCACGGTGTTTGAACTAAAGCCATTAATTCCGTCTATTCAACTCCATTTTAACCCTTTCAATGGCTCATGGCTGTCTTAACTCCGTCTACTACCCCATACAAACCAATGCCATATAGGAAACATTCTGTAATTACTTAAAGCTAAGGAACTGCACGATTTCCTTCTGTTCGTGGTATCTCAAAGCAATCTTTCTACCTCTTTTCACTACACCGTCTCAGTCACCCTCTATATCAGGAACCTCAACAATGGCTCAATTACCAGCAAACAAGGCAGCTTGGCTATCCGCCTCAAAAGCCACGCCGCTTGAGATTGGGCCGGCACCGTACACATCACCCGGGCCTCACCAGATTGTCGTGAAGAACAGTGCACTAGGTATCAATCCAGTCGACTGGGCAAAGCAGCTGCTCGGCGAAGCCCTGCTGGGCCATATCAGCTATCCTTTTATTCTTGGCGCGGATGTGGCTGGCACAGTTGTCGAGGTGGGCGAAGGCGTGGAGCGCTTCCGCGCCGGTGATCGTGTAGTGGCTACGGCTTCTGCTGTCTGCTTCAATAGCTCCATTGAGGGTGCTTTCCAGCTGTACACGGTCATTCGCGAGTGGCTAGCGGCACCGCTGCCAGACAGCATTACCTTTGAGCAAGCTAGCGTGCTACCGCTGGCTACGTTCACAGCCTCTCATGGTCTGTTTGACACCGGCTACCTGGGCCTTGACTTGCCCACTGTGCCTGCGCGCCAATTTAGCGACAAGCGTGCTGTCATCATCACCGGCGGTGCATCCGCTGTTGGCAGCAACGCTATCCAACTGGCCGTGTCGGCCGGCTACGAGGTTGTGTCAACGGCATCGCCAAAGAACTTCGATTACGTCAAGAAGCTGGGTGCTGCCCTCGTGTTTGACTACAAGAGCGACAGCGTGATCGATGATATCAGCGCTGCTGTCAAGGGCCTCCACCTTGCCGGCGGCTTCTCCATTGGCGACGGCTCCATCGAGCTGCTGGCCGCCGTACTGGCCAAGCACGAGGGCCCCTCTGTCAATAAATTCATTGCTCTCGCTGGTGGCAAACCCAAGGGCGACCCTATTGACCCGAGCGTCGAGGTCAAATTTATCCTGCTCGGCCCGGAAGCGGCTGGCCCCGACTCTGTCGCGAGCAATGTCTACAAGAGCTACCTCCCAGATGCCCTCGCCAATGGGCAGTTTGTGCCAGCACCCGAGCCGTTTGTCGTGGGTAAGGGACTAGAAAAGATTCAGGAGGCTTTTGGAATCCAGATGCAGGGTGTTTCAGCAAAGAAGATTGTTGTGTCACTGTGAAGCATTGTCTCGCTAGAAATCCTAGAAATTATGTATTGGCGTCTGCTCGGTCTAGAGGGCAACTATGTAGCTATCTATCATAGATTTTAGCTTTTGATTTACAATCTGTCAGAATCTATCTTTAATTTATCACACTTCCCGTCGTTCAACATTCAACATAGTATAAGACTACCCCGAAACAGCGTCGTTAGAGGGAGCGACTGATAAAGATCTCATTGGAATATCTTGTATCTATCTCACATGAGAAGTATGAGCAGCCAACCGGTAACACTGCTAGATTATTGAGAGGGAGTTGATCTCTATAGGTGCATGAAATGTACATAATTCTCTAGTTTGACATGTCCCTATGCTACTGTGCAGAAGGTCATAGAATACAACAACAATAGCACTCCTCTATGGAATAGCCTAGCACCAGTGTCTACCGAAATTACTCTCTAAAGCTCTAGCTATCCTCCTAAGATCGAGGTTGAACTAAACACGAAAATAAAATTAAAACCTCACACCGAATATTCCAACAACTGGCCAGTGCTCCAAAAGAGCTATGTGACCTAGTCACACAATCAATCGAACCATTATCCCTTTTCTATCTTAAACTGTAGTGGAATTCTCAGTGGTAGAGTCCACATCCTCCTTAGTATTCAGTGCAGTTGGCGAATCTCCCTTAATGGCTTGCAGCTTCTTCACCTTCCGGATATCAACCCATCCTAGACCCCAGCCAAAGACAAACGTAGCCACGCTGAGTCCAATACCCAGATACATGACATGGTCAATTGCCGTGGTATAGCACTCGAGCGCGGCTGTGAGCTTATCGCCCGAAACAAGGCTTCGGATTGAGCTGAGTCCGGAGCTAATGAGGATGTCCGGGTTAACGCCAATCTCGTTGATGTGCTTCTGAAGCTCTTTTCGTAGCCCATTGGTGAAGACGGAATTGGCAGCAATGAGGAAAACGGCACCGCCCATATTTTGCCAGAAGATGATGATAGCCATAGCAATTGGGATCTGCGGAGGGGGGACAAGGTTTTGGATAGCTACGTAGGGCTTCAGGTAGAATTAAGTTAGCAAAATCAAATTTAGGAGAGGAGATAGAAAACTCAGAACTAAGCTTACCGCCGATGTCATAGCACCACTGCCAACACCATAGAGGATCTGGTACCCAATCCATTTTGAGGATGAAGTCGTGGGCTTAATCATGGACATGAGGCCATATCCAATAGCGGTCATGGAGCTTCCCCCAGGTTCCAGGGCAGGTAATAGCCCAAGATCTCGGCTGCAAAACGTTAGTTTGATCATGGATTTTAGTTTCTAGAAATGGTGACAACGAACTCATCATTCCCGCGAGCATAGTGAATATAACCAAGCCTAAAGTCGATGGAAGCATGTGCACACCACTCATGATAGGCCCATTGTTGAGCACGGTTTGGAAGTAAATGGCGAGGTAGTACTCAGCCACCAAAATAGCCCCGAGAAGGAAAAACAAGTTACCCGCAGCAGACCACACAGTACGGTTTTTGATCATGGCAAATGGTACCATGGCATTATCTCCCTGGTAATATTCCCAGACGAGGAAGATAATAAATGTGACAGCGGCGCCAACTAGAAGGCCGATAACAATAGAGCTATTCCACGGGTGTACCGTGCCGCCGTATTGCAATGCAAGCAAAAACATGACGGCAGCGGGGCTAATGAGCATGAATCCTGGAAGATCCAGAGATTTGATGGCTGTGCCGAGGACTTGTCTGGGAGGCAGCTTGGTGGTCGGCTCGGGGACCTTGAAGAGGAAGAGCAGAATAGCCAGAGCGCCGCCAATAGGAAGGTTGATGTAAAAGCCTGCAAGAGAAGGAATTAGCAAGGTGATGGCATCTAGGGATCTCAATGCAAAAGAAAAAAGACCAAACCACTTACACCAACGCCATGTAACATTTTGGGTGAATGCACCACCAATAATAGGACCCAAGGCGATACCGAGCTGGCCGATGCCCATGTTGAGACCCAGAAACTGGGCTTGCTTCCTGGGCGGCAGTATGACCGAGATGATAGTCATGGCGCCATTTGAGATGCCTGATGAGCCAGCACCGGCAATGGCTCTGCCAACAATGAACATAGAAGACGAGACGGCGGCTCCACAGATGACGGATCCGAGCTCGAAGATAAAGAAGAAGACGAGGAAGGACCACTGTTTTCCAACGTTAGGAATCTTCACTTTTCTTTCTTAAGAAATTACAGAATGACCTACCTTGATATTAAAGTGGCTGTAGATCTTGCCAGTGAGCGGCTGGAGGGCAGAGCTACCGAGCTGGTATGCGCCACCATACCAGCCAACGTCGACCAGAGAGTTGAATCGTTGTGTGATGGCGGGAGTTGCGGTAGACACGACACACATGTCAAGGAAGACGAGAAAGTAGGCGATTGTAACAGGACCTAGGATGGACCATAAGGGCAGGCCGGTGGGAAACTTGCTGTCGTCGTCTGCGGCCTCTTTCGTAGAAGTAACGCTATCGGGGCCGTACTTCTCAACAGTGCCAGTATCCTCTGGCATTAAATTGCCCATGTCAACTAGCTTGCTGGAGTCGGTCATAGTCACGGTTGCGATCGTGTTCGTGGCTAGCACTAGAGCTGATTCTCACTTTCTCCGTCCTAATGCCAAGAACTGTGTTAATAGTCATCTGGACGAAAGATAGCGTGCAGCCATTGGAATTTATATAAGATAACATTCCGACTACATAAGAGTAGAAAAGGAGTAGGAGTTTAGGACAGGGACCGGAATCATACTGAGTGAGTGAAGCTCTTTAGGGCTAATTGCTGCAAGTCGGAACCGGAATCTGGAAATCCGGTCCTTAGTCCTGCCCCTATATGTCGGACTTATAGAGGTATCTCCGGCCTTCTAAGCTAGATAGCACCATGTCAATAATAATAAGAAGAATTGGAATCATTACAGCACCTGGCTACCTGGTTGATTGTAGTTTCAGAACAGCTCGAGCTTTTTACAGTTGTGGCCCAAAAAGGTAATTTCCCGTTCATTGGTTTCTGGGTAGATCTCTGAACCAGGCAGTAAAAGCAAGACAATGCAGGCATCTTAGCAAAATTAAATAATGCATTAGATTCAATCTTGTTTACGCCTCTCTAATAGTGCGGAAGCTATGAAAATGAAATGTAGCTCATTGTACATGTGTAATACTGCCTCATGATGAGTATGTACATTTACTAGTAGTAAAATTATGTCCAGCCTCTATAAAGTAGGTATCATCTGATCTTCATATTCAACAAAAAACTGATCCAGCCATGATGTGGGACTCGTTGAGTGTCCTGCCTGATGGCTGTATGTCAAAGCATTTGTATCTGCTTCCGTAGTCGCAACTGTCGCTGTACCCGCATCCGCTCTACTCCCTGCTCTATCTCCTGCTTCTTTTGCTCTATGTTCCTTTTCCTGTTGGATCAGCGCTCCTCTATCGTGATATACTGATTGGAACAGGCGTAGACCGCGAGCCAATTGCGTGAATACACCGTCGGCTGACGCCGGTTGCTCGCCAGCTTCAACAGCAGCGAGCTCTAGCTTGTCTGCAGTGTGGGATAGCATGGTTGGCAGATCGACAAGCCTGTGAATAGTGGCTGGATCCCAGCCAGGCTCCTGTAGTGTGCTAAGCTGGTGCAGAGTAGCCACGCATCGTGCCAGCTGAGCCCACTGGATGAAAGAAATACCACGGAACCCAGAAGGCGAGAAGGTCAGAAAAGTCGACATACACGACTTGATTGTCAGTGCTGACTGCCAAAAGCAGGAGATGCGGGTAGGTCCACATATCGGCGGTGGCGGGCGAGCGGAGTCTTGGATGTGGACGCTCTCAATAATGCACATCTCTGTGTAGTACGTCTGAGCAAGGAGGCCTATTTTCGATTAGCAATCACTATTTGATCTTATGGATTCAAATCTGGGCTGAGCCGGATACCTACCAAAGTGCTGCTGGCATGCTGGAGGAACAGAAGCCCTAAGCTCTTGCAGCTGGCTCATCAACGTCTTGATGTAAAAAAGGGATTGAATCGAAAGAGACTCCGGCGGGGGATGGTCGGGGAGTTGGGCTCGCTCCCAGACCTGAGCAGCCTTCATGGCCAGCAGCTGCAGGCGGACCTGAATAGCCAGGGCAGCATCAGACGGACATTCTGTGCCGACGCTGTGACCGCTGGCTATAAGGGCAGTAATGCCCTCGTCCATCTGAGGTATCCACCGTGGCGCATCGACCTCGGGGAAGTGGGCTGAGACCGCCGACCCAAGCACAAAGCAGCCTAGAATGGCTCGCTGACGCTCGAGATAGGGCTGGGCATCAGTCGCCCCAGCACCCGCTGTCGTGTTGCCATACGCCTCATCAAATCCACCTTTTGGTTCCAGGTGGCTTATTGTGCGTGTGATTTCCGGTACAGATTGATCCAGAAAACGCAGGTCCCCGACCAACGATATGGCCACCCCCATGAGTCGAGACAGACTGCGACGGCTGCGCAGGTGCTCCCAGCCCCACGCAATATAGACAAGGAGACCAAGTAGCAGATCAACTGTTTGCTGTTTTTGTTGCTGCTGTTTCTGCTGCGGCAGCTCTTGAAGAAATATCCTCTCACAGAGTGCACACTTCAGTTCGAGGGAGCTTGCCCTCTTGTCTTCAACTGACACCGATGTCACGCAAACAATAGCTTGGAACAGGAACGGCCGGTCTAGTCGCAATTGCTCAGCCGTAAGGTGGGCAGGCAAATGGACAAAGGGGAAGTGGTGCAGCATACGCGACCGGAAGGAGTTAAGAGATAACGATTCAGAAGACGGAAAGACAGAGGGCGATGTAGACGTGCCTGATACGGTTGAGGACGAGGGGGTGGCTATAGGGATACTATTGGCGCTGGACCCATTCGCATTGTTCATCTCCCACCAGGAAGTAGAGGCATCAACGGCGTCGGAGTCAGTATCGTTGTCGTCTTCGTTGATAAAAGCAGCGTGCGAGCCCTCTACAGTGCGGCCCCCTTCAGTCCCTTCTGCGACCACATCTGGGAATGGAATGGTAGGAGGGGGTGGCTGTTGTTGATGCTGTTGGTGTTGCGGCGATGATTGCTGTTGTTGCGACCATGCATTAACTCTGTCGCTATGGACGCTGCCCGTAGCGCTCACGTCAACATTACCTACCCGAAGCAGTGAGACTAGCTGGCCGAGCGTGCCCTCGAGTTGTGCGATACGAGCGTCCGACGACTTTTGCTTTTTATCGCGACGGCGTAGCTCATCGGCGGGATGGCATGGGCGCTTGAGACGGTGGCACCTATATAAGGTGTTAGTGAGTGTCCACGGTTCAGGGATTTCAAGCAGAGATCCGCCACCAAAAAGCATCTCAGACTGACCTTTCGCATCCATTGCCCTCAGTACGAGGAATACACTTACATTTGGTTTTGAAGCAACCTAAACACGCTCGGCCATAGGCCGATGAGCGGCCAGCCATTCCCTCTATAGCGGTCCCCCAAAATCGGGACTAATTGAGTGATGCCCTTCTATACCGCGATGGATGGTTTAGAAGTTGCCAGATGTAAGAGAGGAGTACTGTCAGACAAAGGATGACAGCCCACTTTTATTCTCCACCAGCGGCCCGCCATGGTGACCCGCCCCTAAATCCGTTAAATCCATCTACCCAAGTCCCGTTCTAGGCATTGATTTCACAAGTCAAGTATGCAAGAAAAGAACATTATCACAATTTATAAAGATGCCTTCTCCCGCTTGAATGATTCAAGAACTAGCCAAATATTGCATCATATCAAAATCAAGAAATATATCTGCTCTTTGACTCATTCCAATATGACATATTAAGTAGAAAACGAACAAGCGGGCTTCGTAAAACGCGCTCGTCGCATTTGCATTAAATACTGCTTGCTAAACACAAGTCTGAGGTATCTTATATAACATTTTCAGACATAAATACCACAACTGGTATACCAAACCCATAACTTAGGCATAACCCCCCTAGTTCTTAGCATGCTCCACAGTAACAGTATCAGCCTTCTCGTTTTCTTCGTGGCCGATCCGAGCCGCCTTCTGGTTTGCCATGACCTCCTCTCCTTGAGTAACGTGGTTGGCACCACCGAACAGAGTATCGATCTCCTCGAGAGGAACCATCTTGGTCTCGGGGATGAAGAACCAAACGAAGGCAGCAAGTAGGAAGTTGATACCCGCAAACATGTAGAAGGCATAGAAGCCCTCGTTCTCGAGGAAAAGAGGGAAGAATTGCTGGACGATGGCGTTGGCGACATTCTGAGTCTGCGATGCCATGCCCACAGCTTGGGCGCGGACGTTCATTGAGAAAACCTCGGACGTCCAAATCCATACAGTTGCACCCCAAGATGGTTTGTCTAAGAGATACTGTTAGTGGAGTTTCGTTTGCGGGGGGTGTTGGGGCTGTAGGTAGAGGGAACTTACAGAATAAGATGAACAAGAACAGAAGGAACACAATCGCTATACCAACAGGCTCCGACTTGGATCCGTTTGCGAGCACGGGTGTTTCAGTTTCGACGGCAGAGACAATAATCATGCACAAGCCCATGCCGATACCACCGACAATCAGAAGGAACTTTCTTCCGAAACGATCAATAATCCAGATAGCGTTCAAGGTGAAGAAAATTCCAAAGGTGGAGTTCAAGGCGTTGATCAGAGCAATTTGACTGTCGCTGCTAAACACTTTTTGGTAGATCTTGGTAGAGTATGAGTTGAGAGAGCCTTGTCCAGTGATCTGTTGACCGGCATTGAGAATCAGAGCCAGAACCATGCGCTTGCGGAGCGACTTGTCCTTCCAGAGAGCAGAGTAGTTGCTAGAGATAGCTTCCCTCTCGTATTCGAGTGCCTCGCGAATTTCCATCAGTTCACGCTCAACTTCCTCCTCGGTATCACGAACTCTTGAAAGAGCTTCACGGGCCTTCTCGTTCTGGCCTTTCTTGACATACCTAATGATGGTCAGAATTGCCCGGAATCAACGGAAATAATTTCAAGATACTCACCACCGAGGGCTGCCAGGAACAGTTGGCAGAAGAGCAAGGATCAGAGTAGGGACCAAAAGTTGGAAAATAACAACCAGTCTCCAGTCCCACTCGCCCAACTTTTCAACGTTATTGGTGCAGGCATAGTTAATCCAGAAGCAGATGAACGATCCAACAGAGTAGAACATCTGCCAGAAGGTCATGATCTTACCACGGATCTCTGGTGGAGCCAGCTCACCAATGTAGATAGGGCCAGCAGCTGCAAAGTAACGCCGTCAGTTCATGCATTCGAACCCACGCTATCAACAAGAGACTTACTCAATGCAATACCCTGACCAATACCAATGATGCATCTACCTGCAAGGAAGCAAGCAAGGTCGTGACGAGGAGAAAAGGTCTGCATAAATGTGGCAACGATAACCAAAACACAGCCAATGGCCATTCCAAGCTTGCGGCCCAGGAAATCGGCACATGGACCTCCCAGGAAGAAACCACCGAAAATAGCGCCGACCGTGTATGCTGTATTAATTGAGCCGATAGTGTTGGCATTTGGGTGGTTCATCCAAGCCAGCCAGTTCTTAGAACCCTGGACGGAGTTAAACACGGACGCATCGTAACCGTAGAGCACCATGCATGATGCTGCGACACAAGAGATGTACCTAGAAAACCGTGGTTAGGGTATGCTCTCCGAAGTAGATGGCTATGTACTAACCAGTTGTACGCCCGCTTGCGGGTCATGGTAAAGCGGCCCATTTTGACGGTATGGGACTGGTTTAACAATAGGATGAGGTTGAAGCTCTACCAATATATTCAAGAAAGGCAACGATAGATGAGCAACCGTATCTCTCGAGTAATGTGAGAGAACAGTTAAAGATGAGCTACACTTCAGAAGGGTACGTAAGTGGGCGGAGACTGCAGCTATATAACAAGAGAAACGATTAGGGCATTTCGGGGGCGAAAACTGAAACCCCAGTCCATGTGAGCAGGGAAACCCCATGAGTGGATCAGACCATCCCCAGAATCAACTACCCCCAGATACACTAAGATTATTTTGGCATTTTTGATAACGGGGAGCCCTGTCTCCAGGATCGCTGAGTGGTGGGGTATCTGGAGTCAATGGCACATGCCCAAAGTATATCTCGCGTCTATTCAATTTCTCATTGGTGTGGAGCTTTCTCAAAAGCCCGGGCAGGACCTGGGGTAATATTGATCTGGGGTTCGAGGATATTTTTCAAGCTTTTGTTCCGGTCGAGATGAAATTGGTGAGTTTCCACGAATCGGCGGCCTGGATGGCAGTGGCTTGGGAGAAAATCAACTCCACCAATAGGGTAAATGACGAAGGAATACGGTAGAAATAAGAGCTTGAGAATCAACTACACTAAACCAAACAAGTAGGAAATAAGCGATTGGGGATGCTTTCAGGCTGGATATAGGGCTGGCTTTACCCTTATAGCCCTGGAGAGATGTCGATCAAGTTAGGGCAATATTATAGTACTTTGTATACGGAGTACCCTCTCGGTTTTTCTGCTATCCTGTCTATTTAGTACGTGCTACATGGCTAGTCTTCAAACTAGGAGTAGCTCAAAAAACATAAAACCGAGAGATAATAAGTCTTCGACTTGTTTTCGTTAATAGTAGGCTAGAAAATAGGTATGATTTTAGTAGAAAGATTCAAAGAAGAGCTCCGCCAGAAATATGCATAGCTTTATATATCTTGAGAGAGCTCTACGTTCTTACAAATAACCAACATCTTACAAATAGCTTTGATCTTGGTCATCCTGGTCTTTTTGCTTCCATCTTCTATGGATACTCGCATAGCAGCTGGTTTGTTCAAACCATGCCTGCATCGGCATACATATGAAATCTATGTTTCTTTTAAATGGACAGAATCGTTAATGTACCGTATTCAATATATATTTTGATCGATTACTCCATTCACTTTACAGTAGAGTTAGTATCAGTCCGAAGCATTTGTAGTTACCATATGTATGCCCCTCTCACTTTCATCTTGTTATTTTTATCAAAAGCACAGCTTCTAGTAAGTATCTCCTTATATCGAGAATAAATTTCACAAAGTTTTCTTCATCCAAAGCTCCTCAAGGTGATTTGATCTTACAAGTATAACGATCACGTGTTCTCGTGATCCCAACGCGGTGATCCGCGACAGCGAAGGTCCCACTTTGATCTGGCAGACTCAAGCTTAATTCTTCTTTGGATATATTTCCTTTTCGGTGAATTTGCTATGACCTACCTGGTCATATAAACCTACCTTTCCGTCTCCCAATCCAGCCCATTCGGTTTTTTGACCCTCAGTCGCAATGCCACCCCGCAAATCGAAGAAAAAGCAGACGCGACTTGCCTTTGCGACTTCCACCGCTTCGCCTTCAGCGGATGTGACTCCAGAGAAAAATAAATATGCAACGCTCACGTACGACAACCCAAGCTTGGGCACATACCGTCCTCCAAAGCCTCCGAAGGTCAAGAGGGAGACTTCGCCCAAAAGGAAACAGCCGAAGCTCCCCACTAAGACGGGGTCCGTTGATAAATCCACGAGTACGGTGATGCCATCTCTCCTCAATGCAACCAGAAAGCTAAGATCTAAAAGACGAACTGTTTGTAGAAGATCGACCGGACAATGAATCCTTAGACGAACCTATCATCCCCGCCTCCCAGAAGAGAAAGCAAGCCGCGCCACCTGACAATCTCGAAGTGGTGGTCCACAGCCCACCAAAGCGCGAGGACACCCAAGATGTGAAGAAAGGCAAATCGCGGAAATCACAGCGATCCTTACAATTTTTAAAGGAACCTACTGAGAATACAAATGCTTCTGATTCAGAGGAGCTATCCCGGCCGCGCCGAACACACAAGCGAAAGGCCGCAACGTCACCTATTGACTCCAGCGACTCAGATGAGCCTGTAGCCTCTTCAGCGGCCAACCGGCGCAGGTTAACGCGCGGCGGTCATTCTTCAAGCTCACCTGTTTTACTCAGCGACGATGATTCAAACGAGCCAGTGGCTCCTTCGACCGCCAAGAGGCGCAGATTAGCAAGGTCAGCCATAGTGTCCAAAAGCGACGACGATGACTCGGACGAGCCTTCGCCCTCTTCGCCAGTGAAGAGGCTCCGACGTGGACAGGAGAAAGAAACATCTCAAGCTCCTCACACTCCCCGCCACATCTCGAAACAGGCTAGACTTGATATCGCAGAAGATTTGGAGGACCTTCAAGATTCAGGTAGGAACCAATTAGCGCACGAGGTTCGTTTATTTATGCTGATTCCAATCATGTGTAGTTGTTAAAAAAAGTCGAACTCGCGGCCGGAATGTCGAATCTGCCCGAGACAAGCGAATGAGGCACCTTGAAGCCCTCCGCCGCAGACGGGCTGGTGTGAAAGAAGAGGACGTCGAAGAAGATGAAGATGAAGATGAAGATGAAGACGAAGACGGTTCAGATGTGCAGGAGATTAAACGACCTGGCAGCGATGCCAGTCCCACTGCTCGTGGTCTCTGGCGGCATCACGACGACGGTGACAGCGACATGGAATCAGCCATTGATCCCAACGAGAACCTTGACCGATATGAAGACGACTTTGTCCTAGAAGACGAGCATGATTTCGGTGTTCCCACTGAGGAGATCCCCTTCGAGTTCACTCGGCATGCATATAAGCAGCCGAAGGAGTACTTCCGCGACGTCATCGGCTGGATGGTGCAAAACAAGCTAAACCCGGCCTTCCCTCGCTCTGACGACATGTACAAGATGGCATTCATGAAGCTGGAAGATGAAGTCAAGGGTCGGGCTGGTTCCCAGCTTATCTCCTCCGTTTGGAACCCCGGTTTCGTCTATGCCCTCCAGGCCCGACCGCACATCGAAATCGCTGCTTTCCCCACAGAGGAGAACCATCCCTGCGATGCTTGTAGGCGCTCTGGACATCCCGCTTCTAGTGATATAAAGCTCTACGGGAAAGCGTATTCCCTGGAGACGCTAGAGCCGCTGGAAGATGATAATGATGACAGTGATGAGAATTCCAATAACCACAACGATGGACAGGACCGTGACCGGGATGGCCATATCATTCCTCCTGAGAATGTCCGGTATTTCCTGGGAAAGTAAGTTCGATTTGGACAGTCATTTCAATCTACTCACCCTCTAACCATGTTTCTTTTTGTTTCAACAGACAATGCAAGGCGAGGGCCCAGCTCGCTCACACCCTCACACACTGGCGCTACCATCTCAATGAATGGGTCATCGACTTCCTCGATCGTACGGGCCACATGGAAGCCGATGAGATCCTCCGACGAAACGATATGAGCATCAAGCGGAGGACGCGAAATGCAAATGATGTCCTCGACATGATGACTGGAAGTGGTGAAGTCGATAAGCTTTGGCGTGACTTCCATATTAATCTCAAGTCTGCTCGCGAGAAAGAGGTATGTTTATGTCCCGGTTGCGTTTGAGATGTTTGCATGATGCTAATCAGGCCCGTCCTTGTATTTAGTCTATCTACGGATGATAGGATGCCAGCTTACCAGAGGGTTGATATTCGTCCTCGAGTGGCTTTATCATGGATTGCCATGAAGTCTCTGAACATTTTAACTGGTTTTACTTTCTTTTTGCGACCTTTTTTCGGTGCTCGATCTTGCATAATGATACCCAATTTTTCTGTTTCACGTTCCATGCGTACCAGGACAATGACCCGCGGGCTCAGCACAGCAATGGCAAGCTGGCTATCCCAGACATTTCCCTCGAGAGCCTACTTAGTACATATATCCAATGCAATTTTAGGTATTCGTAGGCCTCTTTCTCCAGCCCCTGTAAGAAAGCTAGGACTACAAAATGCAAAGAATATGACCAAACCCATCCGTTTTCATTACCTGGACATGCACATAGAGTGAGAAGAAAAAAAGGTGTATAGAGAAACAGGAAGAAAGATGATTGGGGTTGTACAAATACATGCATGCATAAGCTGCCGGAGCCAAAATGTCAGAAAGCATGAGAGATGCGAGGAGATAAAAGGAAGTAAAAAAACAAGAAGTATAACAAAGATCCGAACAAGTCAAGCCAACAGGAGAATTGGGGAAACCAACTCTTTCCAAGTGCTTGTAGTCCTGTATCTTGAGATCTGGCCCAAAACGGGTGATTGGAAATCCCAGGTGACAGAATCGCGCCGACATGCGCTTGGGTATGGCTGTTTGCATGACGCCAAGTCTTGCGATCGATAATCGTGTCGCTGGATTATTCAACAATCTCTCTGCTTTCCGAAGTGGTATTAATTTACAGAGTGGGTTGAGCCACCTTCTCGGTCTCGATGCCGGGGGTGAGCATCTGCGAATAGAAATCATAATTAGTATAATGTTTCAAGAACTGGGAGTCCAGTGAAGAGCGCGAAACGACATGCGATGATAATGTTGAAAAAGAAAGAAATTTTGAAGATTGCCGAAACGCGAATACCCGAGGCAATGTACACGGTGTCAATTGTGCCAATGACAGCACGAATCTGGGCTTCAAGATGATTGTTGCAATTTCGATAAAAACAATAAATCAAAAATAGATAAAAACACATGACACATACCTCGTTAGCTCCCTTGATCATTCCCTGCTCGCGCTCCATCTGGATGTACTGCTCCTCCTCAGCGTAAGCCAAAGCGAATGGCACACCGAGCAGGAAAGCACTGGTGCTGATAATCCAGAGGGCCTTGCCGCTGAATGAAAGGCTGGCCTTAGTGAGGTCTGTGATGGAAGAGACGGTGCTGGAGACGGTGCGACGGGCGGAGGGAGGAATCATGTCTTTCAGAGCGGCGATACGCTCGTAGACCGTCTCGGCCTCGAGATCGATATCCTCATCCTCGGAGATCTCGGAATCTGTTATTCATTGATTACCATGTCAGATGAGGTTCTTAATGTTTATTTGCGACTGTGTTCATTTCTGGGGTTTCGAGGTCGCGTTGTTGGGGGTTTGAGATCGGGGACTGTGAGGATGGGAGGAAACCTAGGGAGCAGAGGATCCTCCCATCGAAACAATTTTCCATGCAAATGACAATGGCGCGATGCGAGTTCCGTCTGGGTATCGGGATTCGGTACTAACCAGTGTCTGAGTAGTCATCCTCGTCATCAGAGACCAGGAGAGCGTCGTGCTTGGTGGCAGTGGGCTTGTCGGTGAAGTGCTCGTCTTCGACTTCAGTAAGCTTGACCATTTTGGGCGATTTTGATGAGGATGACGAAGGGGATCTAGTTAAAGGTGATGGTTGAATGATGGAAAGTCGCTCTGGTTTCGCTCCGACTTTTTTGCCGAAAAGCGGCGAGGAGCTTGGACCCACCGACAACGATGTCATTTGTTTTTGTGACATTGTGATCTTATGAAGTTTGTGAAAAGGTGGTGAATGGAAAGAAATGTAAAGGAATAAAAATGTATGAGTTGAGGAAGGCTAGGTGTTCAATAAAGCCTGTTTTAAAAGAGAGGTGTGTTCTACAAGGTCAAAATTCTGGCCATGGTCTATAATTACAGATCATCCTCTAGATGCAACTTCACCCACATGACCCTTATTTCCGACACGTCCACGCGAGTCCAGAGGAATAAAATCACTTATTTACAGCCGGCCAAGCTTCCACCGGGCAATCCGTTCTTGGACCTCCTCCCAGGGGAATGACCGAAGCTTATAGCCTTCCAGCTCGCCCTCCTGTAGTACAACAGTAGGCTTACCAGTGCCCTTACCCTCGTTGTGGACCTGGCCACCGAAGACCTTGCGAGCCACACGGCGGAGGTCCTCGACAGTGAGAGCCTCAATTTGCTCACACATCTCCCGGACACTGACCTTGCGGCCGTGGACCTGCACCTGGCGTCCAAGATCCTCGAGCTCGACCATGCGAGACTCCAGATTCATGAGCAGAGAGGAACGGAGCTGGTTCTTCGCGCGGTTAACTTCCTGCGCTTGCAGCGAGCTGTAGCCAGTATCCAAAGTCAGGGCCTGCAGCTCACGGCACATGACCTCGAGCATCTCCGTGATACGGGTTGGGCTGCAGGATGCGGAAATTCCGAAGATTCCACTATCCGTGTAGCTGTGATTGAAAGCAATGCAGCTCTCGACCCAACCGTGCTGGTTCAGCACGTTAGTGTAGAGTCGCGAGTACATACCCTTTCCAGGGCCACCAGCCGAGAATGAGCCACCACCACCCAGGAGGGTCTGAAGAGTAGCGAGAGCATAGATATCAGGCGAGGAGATGGGGAGAGCCTCGAATGCAAGGTGGATGTGACTCAGGCGAGGAAGCATGGGGCTCGCTGGCGGGGGAATCGAAGGGAGTGCGATAAAGCCACCTGTGTAGTGAGCAGGTTGGCGGATGTTTAGTGCGGATGGCTCAACCAGAGATGAGTGGAGAGGCTCGACTGTAGAGTTCTTGGAGGTGAGGTTCTTAAGGAATGGAAGCTTCGACAAAAGTGAAGTATGTGTTTTGTGGGAAGCAGCCGGGCTGCTGATTGTCGATGAAGGCGTGAACGAAGGAACGGTGGGCACCTGGCCTTCGTGGACGGCCGTTTGGGAATCAGACAATGTCGTTTCAATTCCAGTGCCTGACAATACAGGACCCTTGATCTTGCTGATGTCTTTCGATTTCATGTCGCCAAAGTACTGCTCTGTGAGTTTAACAGCCTCCCCATGTGGCACACCGGCAAACGCAACCACCATACGGTCTGGGTTGAAGAAAAGTTCTCTATACCGCTCCACTACTGCCTTGTTGATTTCGCCTAACCGTTCTTCTGGGCACAATAGCGGATTACCAAGAGTGTTGTTGGCGTATGCAGTCATGTGCACCAATTCCGGAAGGATGAGTTCCGGCTTCGCCCAAATCTCGCCAATCTCGTACTCCGCTGTTGCGAGTTGTTGGATGACCTCCTCTTCGGTGATGAGGGGATCGCGGATGGTTTCGGCAAGCAGACCGAGCGTGGTAGGAACCGCCGAGTTGAAACTGGCAGACTGGTACATCAATGACTCTCGGGATGAGGCACACTGGATGTTACCGCCGAGGGACTCGAGAATCTCAAGCATTTCATCTCCGGTGCGCGCCTTGGTAGACTTGAAGGCTAGACGGTCCATAATGTGGCTCACTCCACGCAGGCTCTCATCTTCGTAACGAGATCCGGCATCGATGTAGACTCCGACACCAGCGAAGGGACCCGGTAATGATTCCGTGGCGACGCGAACTCCATTTGGAAGTGTGGTAATTTGTTCTAGCTCGGCGGGATCCTATAGATAAATAAACAATTTGTCAGTTATAAATAACGATACATCGCATGACCTAACGAGGCTCTCTTACCTTGGCCGAGTCATTGATGGTAGAGAAGCTTCTTGACACGGCGCGAGGAGCTCGTGTGAGTGGCTTCGCGGACTCAATGGCCCGCAGTGCTGTGCGGCGCATGATAATTAGTTCTGTACAAAGGCCACAACCTAGTCAATTCAGAATTTCTTGGTGCACCGAATATATCCGGAAAACGTGATGTAGCTCGGACGGACTGTCGGCGAAGAATCGTAATGGAGGCTCGATCCGAAATGATTAGCTAATCCGCTGTATGATAGATGGGCCAGATGTTCTTCGATTACATATCAGGTTGAAGTAGATAAATCTTTTACGGTCAAATTAATAACGTTTTGGCAAGAAGCTGAGTGCTGTGTAATTTTTTTGTAATTCGTGTCTGGATATAGTAGGGTCGCCCAGGTGTCTAGTCCGAGGCTAAGACCTACAGGACTCGAATATATATATATACATGCTTGTGAACATATGGGTGTGGAATCATGAAAATATTTAATCTATAGCAAATATCTATGAAGCGTCAATTTTGCTATGTAATAAAGAATTAATGTAACTAAAGGTGTTCCGAAGCCCAGATTCTATACCAATCAAGACATGAAGCATTCGCAACACTCGCACCAATCTTGATGTTAAGCCCACACAAAATCTGCTTGACAGCATTCTCGACCTTCTTGCCGTTGGAAGTCACCGGAATCTCGGGACATGCATCGATAATGCCGGGGACATGGCGGGGGCTAAGTTCCTCCCGAATAGTGGACTGAATGCGTGCTGCGAGATCCGACGGCATACCAGAGCCATTGCCAGAAATAAGTCGGACAAACAGAACGACCGTCTCATCGGTGTCGATGCCATCTCGCCTCCGACCAATGCAAAGAGAATCTTCCACATCGTCGGCGAAATGCTTGAGTAGAATATTGTAAATCTCAGCACTTCCAAATCGCACTCCGGATGGCTTGAGTACACCGTCGCTGCGGCCTAGCATGACCACACCTCCAGTTTGTGGGTTCAAGCGCACATAGTCTCCGTGGTGCCAGACTGATGGCCCGAACACGTCAAAGTAGCTCTTCCGGTACTTCTCCAAGCCTGTTGGTCCCGGGGGCCAGAACATGACTGGTTGGGCCGGGAAGGGTGTGAGGCAGACAAGATCACCGGGTTCGCCTGTTGCGCTGATATCGTTGCCAGCATAGTCGAACACTGAGATGTCCATTCCCAAAGAACGACATTGGATTTCTCCTTTGT